GGCCCTCAATAAATAAGAGTCGTGGCCGAGGGTGACACAGGCTGGCCAGGGCTGCATCGATCACCTCGAACCAGTCCTGGTCAGCTGCCCGTCTCCCTGGCATTCAGCACGCTGCAGAAGGCCGCGATTGATCTCCACCGTAATTGAATCTCACAAATGGGCGGCGGCGTAATTAAGGGGCCCACGGGGCTTCATCAGAAATCTCCAAGGGCAGAGCAGCGCTGCCTCGTGATGAATGGCCGCTCTCCTGCCCTGCTCCCAAGGCACAGATCCGGAGCTCTGGAGGGCAGCCAGTACAGAACAAAACAAGGTGACCCCTCAGAGTGTGCGAGGACAAGGGTCACTGGACCACTTTGTAGGCATTTGCCATAGTTTGTACTTAAATGTCCCCCCAGGTCCCACGCATTAAGGGCTTGGTGGTCAGCACTGTTGGGGGGGGATTTAAGAGTGGGGCCCAGCGGGAGTTGCTCTGGTCGTTGAAGGTGTGCTCCCCAAAGGGAGAGTGGGGCCCCAGCCCCTTCCTCTGCCTCTCTTTAGTTTCCTGCCTTAAAGAGACTGGTTCATTTCCCCAAGATGTGCTGCCTCACCCTAGTCCCCAAAGCAATGAGACCAATTGGTCAGGCACTGGAACCTCCAAAACTGCGAGCCCAAACAAACCCCTCCCCTTTCTAGTTTTGATTACCTCAGATATATGTCACAGTGACAGGAGCAGAGCTAGACGTGATTTTGGGGTCCTCCTCTCTGGGAACATGGGTCCAGGCCCTGCTCTACCCCAGGACCACGGTTGATGATTCTTTTTCTCACCCACCATCAGCATTGGACAAAACCCTGTAGGACAGGTTAAGAAGAGAAAAGAATAACAGATTTAGGGAGTTCTATGTGACACAGAAGCCCTTTGGAAATGGAGAAGGGTTCTAGCTTCTGTGACTGGCTTGGGGAAAGGAATTCTGGTTTCCACAGTTGGGGAAGAAAGGGCTGGACACAGAGGGCAGGAGAAGGGCAAGGAGAGATCTTGCTTCTGATCCTTCCAACAACCCTGAATTCAAAGTCTCAGCCCACCAAGGTGCCGTATTTTGGTGTATTGTGTTCTGAGCCCCCACAGTTACAAACCCACCTTCTAATCAAACACTCAACAAAGTTCCTAGGTGAGGACCTAACTTCTTGTTCTGAAGGAGTCCATCTCCCACCACTTTTCACCATGTTAATGCCTAAGTGGAAAGACAGGCACATCCACGCTGCAGAGGCTGTGACTCTCGGAGCTTGTGTCCAAATTTCAAGGACAGAAGCGATTCTTCATTTGCAACCTGAAGAAAGAACTTCTGAGAAAAAAGCCCAAACATTATTGTTGAACACTTTGGGGGTGTGTATGTCTGTTCATCATCTCCACCAACTGTCCTGGAGGTGGGCAGAAGCCAACTCTGAATGGCACGGGATGTGGTCGTAGAGAGCTGGACCTAGGCAGCCAGGGCAAGGTGGCAAGGGAGGAGGTCAGGGGCACAGCCAGACCAAAGGAGCATGAAGAGGGTCTTCCAAAGAGGTCAACTTCCCAGCTGACAAAAGTGCTCATGAACACAAGCAGGGGACCCAATCAAACAGACACTTCCAAAAACGTGCCCCTAAGCAGAGATTAAATAGAAAAACTAAAATATATGCATGGACACAGGGGTGCCAATGAATAATAGTGAGAGCTCATGGACAGAGGAGGAGACAAGGGGAGGAGGAAATTCCAAAAAACAGGCCCAAACTCCCCCACCCAACTCCCAGCTCCTTCAGAGAAGACTGTCTCTGTCACTCTTGCAGACAGCCTGCTGCTTGCGATCTCTGCACCCTGTTCAATTCTTCGCTGAGTGGAGACAAGGAACCCAACACCCCCAGATGGTAACCACAGGGCACTTCATCCTGCTTGTCATGAACGCTGAATGACCTGAAGCCCTTCATCGTATTTTAGAGAATGAGCTGACGGCAGGAGATGAGAAAGTGATAGCTACATAGGAGAAATCGTTAAATGGTCTACAAAATGTTCACAGCAAGATCACGGGGTCCCAAAAGAAACGTGCTGAGTTATGGGGCACAAGTGGCGCGTCAAGTCATCATTCTCATTGACTAACAAGTCTGGTAGAGAAAAGGAATTTTTTTAAATTGCTCTTCTGCGACCACGGAAATGGCAACATCAATTTCCTTGTCAATGACTCTGAAATAATTAAGACTCAGCAATATTGAACAGGCTGAGTCCTTCAGACCAGAAGAAATAAACAAATCCTCGACCTCAATCACGGGTGATGACAACGCAAATTGAATTAACGGATACCCACCATTTTTGCTGATTTTCATTTCCTCTCATATGATTTTTTTTTTTTCCCAATAAAGGCAATTTATATAATTGATGTGCTTGGCCCAGGGTGAGGTGGAAGCCTTCCATTCTAGAACAATAGTCAGAAACCCTCTTGGCTCTGGCAACCTCAGCAGGAGGTCGGGGGGCCTGTGTGCCTGACCAGGCTATGGAACCGCCCAGGTCTGGTCCATGCCCGAGGTTCCCAAAGCTCTGTCATGTGTTAGTCACAGCCTCTGGGCCCTGCCAGGGATTTAGGACAGTGAAGGTGAAGGGACAGTAGCCAGTCTGTTAGGTGCTTTCCCCACTCCCCAGCCCCAGAGCCCCACTCCCTGTCCCCAAGACCTGCCTTTCCCAGCAAAGTCCTGCAGGGCGGGTGACTTGAAGGGGCACACCCCCCTCCGTCCTGGAGCCTGAAGGTTTGAGGTCCGGTGTCGGCAGGGCTGGCTCCTGGGCTTTCAGGTGGCAGCCTTCCCTAGGTGTGTCTGTGTGCCAATCTCTCCTTAGGAGGACACCAGTTCTACCTGGTTAGGATCATCCTAATGAATTTCCTTACCTTATCACCTCTTGAAAGGTGCCATGTCCAAATACAGTTGCATCCTGAGGTCTTGGGGGGTTGGGCTTCCAAACACATGAATTTTGGTTCCGGCTCTTCCCTCTGCATTGCCTCCACAGCTCCTCACCTGTCTCTGGGCCCCCTTTCTGTGACCAAACTGCTCTAAAAGCTCATGAACAACACTTCTCCCCGTAGATCACCCGTGGGAGCACGCAGCTCCACTCCCACCTCACCGCACAGTTCACACATGCTTTGTTTGCACACGCACATGCAAACATGCACGCAACTCAAAGGAAACATTGGCTTGGGGACACAGGTGTGCCTCTAACAGCCCCAGGATCTTCTTCTGTCTCCTTAATAGCTGTGGATGACCAGCATCCAGGTTTACTCATCCCCCAGGTCTGAGGAATGAACTCAGCCACCACTGCCTGAGCCCATGGGCCCTCCTCCAGGCCAGGGCACCAAGGCAGCCCCCCATAAAGCCCCCACAAGCCCCCCACATCACGGCCTCCCTGATCTGTGGTGTAAAGGACCCAGTTTTTGTTTGGGATTTGTTTGCTTATTTTTCAGTGCTGGATCAAACCCAGGGCAGCTAGGTAAGTGTTCTGAGCTACACCCCCAACCCAGTGACCCAGTTTTGAGACTGGATTCAGAATCCCTAGTGTGAGTGTTGGGGTCGGAGCTTGGCCTGCTTCCAGAGCCTCTACCTAAACCCTGCCCTGCCTCCTTTCTGCCTGAGAGGGGCTCCCAGGAGGGGGCAGGGCCCAGCTGCTGTTTGTACTGGTGACCTAACTCCTGCTGGGGGTGGAGCCCGTCCCGCACACTCCCTGCCTTCACCAAAGCCCCTTGGTGTGCAGCAGCAGGGACCCAGCCTGAGCTGCCCCAGCACCAAGGCTGCTGCACCTCCTGCCCAGGGCTTTGTTCCTGGAGAAGGTCGGAGACAGCTGAGGCCCCTGACCACCGCAGCCATGGTAGGTGCTCATGGTGTGGACAGTCAGCCCATCTGTGCTGTGTCCAGACTAGAACTATGACCCAAGTGTGGGAGGGCAAAATTATGCCACATTTGGGGCCAGGGGAGGCCCTATGGACCCTCCTGACATAAACTTGAGGCTCTGGGGAGGCGTTGAAGTGCAGGGAGAAGGGCAGGGGAGGAAAGCTGGGCTGAACTCAGCACCTTCACTAGGTTGCTGGGAAAGTCACCTCACCTCCAGGGCCTCAATTTTGGCTGCTGAAAACAGGAGTAAGATCACCTAGTCCATGTCACTAATGTAAGATCTAAATAAGTCAGGAGCTGTGGTGCACACCTGTAATCCCAGCAGCTCAGGAGGCTGGGGCAGAAGGATTGACAGTTGAAAGCCAGCCTCAGCAACGGTGTGACTCTACGCAACTCAGTGGGGCCCTGTCTCTAAATACAATACAAAAAATAGGGCTGGGGATGTGACTCAGTGGTCAAGTGTCCCTGAGTTCAATCCACAGTACCCACCCCCCCGCGCAAAAAAAAAAAAAGATCTAAATAAGATATAAGGATCCCAGCACACTGCCCTATAACAGTGGTGTCCAACGAAGAGAGTCTTATCTCCAGGACTTGGTGCTGTGGGTTAGGGGCCAGAAAGACTCTGCCTTCGAGCCTCCCAGATGTGCCCCTTCCCTGCTGGAGAAGCCTGGTGGGGAAGCTGAGAGCCAGGAGCTGCCATTCCTCTTGGCCACCAGGGCTCCTGCAGTCCCCTCTCTGGGCCTTGCTCAACTGCAGCACTGCTGGATCCCTCAGAAAAGTGCCCAGAGCAGGGACCACCTTGGGTCCTGCCTTCTCGGGCTCTGCCCTTGAACTCATTTAGCCCCCTAAACCTAAGAATGGGCAGAATTTTCCATGCAGCTGTCCATCAGATCAGAAGATATCAAGGAGACAATATCAGGGGGCCCTGCATGGAGACCCACAATTTTAGAGTTTCCAGTGCATGTTTGATCTTAGGTCAGCCCCTGACCTGAGAGCTGATTAGGGCAGAGAGGAGCCTGGGCCCACCACTGTGACTCGGCTTCCCTCTCCACAATGGTGGGGAGTAAGGGAGACACAATCGGGCTTGAATTTCAAAAGCCTGCTTACTTGGTGAGACACGCATGACATTTTTCCTTGTACAGGTTCATGGGCATAAAGGGGTCCGGTTCCAAAACTGGGCAAGGACCTATGGCTGTTGCCCAGAGATGTACTATCAGCCCACATCTGTGGAAGAGGTTAGAGAGGTGAGTATCCATCTCTGCTCTGCTGCCCTGGAAATGGAGAGGAGGCTAGAAATGGGACTCGCTAAGATCCCACCCCAGCCCCAACCCAGAACTGCTAGCCAGTGGCCCCTGCCCACCTCTAATCTGCATAGCCATGTCCCAAGGACCTCAGATCTGCAGTCGCTGCTCAGTCCTCTTCTGTGATCTGCACACATGCACACACACAGGTGCACAGACATGTATGCACACTGTCTCATCCACACTCACACTTGCATGGATTTCTGAGAAGAATCAGCAGGTAGTAGGGAAGAGCACTGAGTGTATGAAGGGAAGAGCATCTGGAGAGTCCTGGGTGGTGGCTGCAGGTGGGGATAGGGATGCTGGCAAGGCAGAGTGGCTTTGGACTGATCAGAGGGGCAAAAGACTCTATTTGAGGGAGAGAGAGGGAGCTGGGGATGTGTGGTGGTTCCTAAGCAGACCCCTGCCCTGTGAATCACAAAAAGCAGGAGGTATCCCTGCCAGAAAATGGTGTGACACAGTTAAACAGGTATCTTTATTGTAGAGCACGGTGGCCATCAACATGCCGCACAGCAGGGGGGAGGGGGAGGAGCTGGCGAAGACCAGCCCCTGCACAGCATAGCCTGTGCTTCCTGATCTCAGAAGACTGTGAGCGCTTTGTGGAATAAATCATAAGGCCAGTGTTCTGTAGCACAGATAGGAGGCTGTTGGAGCAGGGAGAAGACAGTGAACAGACTCATTTAAATGACATCATTCATCCATTTATTTCTTCACTCAACAATCTTTAGATGCCACCTATTTTTGCCAGGCCTGGAATAGGCTCTGCAGGTTCAAAGTCAAATTCAGTCACTGATATTGTCCCTGAGGAGCCCTAATTGGAGCATGGAGGCAGACCATAGGTCCTTGTAGTCAAGCTAAGAGCTTGTGTCTTATCCTTAGGACCCTGGGGCGCCCTTGGAAGGTTTTGTGTTGGTAAGGATATGATGGGGTTTGCCTCTAGAGAGCCCTGAGCTGCAGCAGAGAGAATATCGGAGTGGCAGATTGGGAAGGTCCCTTGGATGTCTATCCAGGACCGCTTCCAGGCCCATACTCTCTTTCTTGTGTGACCTGCACAGCAGTCTGGAGTCAGGCGAAGTCCCTCAGGCCTGGTGCATCTCCCGGCTGCCTGCGCCCCCTGCAGGTTAGGCCAGGATCCTGCAGGTTCACCCGCTGCCTCTCTGACTCTTGTATTGTCTCTGTAGGTACTGGCCCTGGCCAGGCAGCAGAACAAGAAGGTGAAAGTGGTGGGTGGTGGCCACTCACCCTCGGACATTGCCTGCACTGATGGCTTCATGATCCACATGGGAAAAATGAACCGGGTTCTCCAGGTATGGGGGCCCTGGGCTCCCCCTCTGCTGGCCCCAAGCTTGACAGCCTCAGCCTTCACCCAGACCCCAGGGCACATGCTCCTCAGCCTTTCCCCCCAGTTTTCAACACCTTGCCACCCCTGAGCCCCCAGAGTAACACCCTGATCCCTGGCCTTTTCTCGCACACTCCTCACTTGAACCCTCCCTGGATTTGAGGATGCCTCAGGACAGGTCGTCCTACTCCCTTCGGCCATGGAGAAGATGTCTACTCCCCTCCCCTGCCAGAGCCTCCTCTCCACTTTGCTAGAACTGGAGCAGGGAATCAGATTCCCAAAAGGCAGACTTGCAACGACAAATTCAGAGAGACCTGAAGTGGCACTTACCTAGCTTTCGAAGTGGAGAAATTAAAGATCAGAGAGGGTCAGTGACTTGCCAGCCAAACAGCAGCAAAGCTGGGCACAGACCCAAGACTGACACAAGCTCTGAGCTGGGATGCTGTCCATGCAGTTCAGAGCCTGTACTTGGCACCTGCCAGCAACTCAGGCTCCTGCCCCTTGTTAGAACTTCTTTTCTCACCTGCTTCGGTCAGCACCCCTAACCTATAATTTTTGGCAAATAATCCCCTCTCCAAGCCCCCTAGAAGGATCTGAGTTTCTCTTACTGTTTCCCCATTTGCTCAGGCTGATAGTCTCTAACTCTTAGAAAACATCTGGGCTAAGATATCAGCCATGGCAGTAATTAACTCTGATTGCTAATTAGTGAGGACTGAGCTCTAGCAATTTATTTTTACTGAGCTCTGTGCTCTGGGTCAATGGAAGGAGCATGAGCTTTGGAGTCCAACAGATGTGGACTCTCATTTTGGTTCCGCCACCAGGGTTTGTGTGACCTTGGGCAAGTGACTTCAAATCCCTGAATCTCAGTCTCACACCTGTAAAATGCAGAGACGCTCCTACTGCTCAGGGCCACTGTGGGGATCTCACGACAGCACCTTTGTTGCTTGGTTGGGCATCAGACAGATGCTAAGTCTCTGCCCTTCCAGTCTCGGCCTTTGCCTAGGTCTTCCCAGGGTGAGATAAATGGAGAATCTGAACTCCATTTAGGAAAGTCAGGACCTAGGGGAGCAGGACCTCTTTAGTTGTTTACTTTGCACGGGAACACAAACAAGTCCCACTGTCCCAGTCTGTGCAGGTGGGCAGGATCCTCGTTCTGGCTCTGCGGTGTGAGTCTGGGCAAAATACTCGCCACCCCGGGTTTGCCCTCAGGCCCCATGCCCCTTCAGGCTGCCTGCAGCAGGAGCTGGCTCAGGCTGATCACCAGCTGGGACAGACACTCATGTTCCCAAGGAGCCTGGCTGCTGAGGTGAGGCTGGGTAGGGGCCTGGTGCCTCCCAGCTCTGCTGGTCTCTTGCAGGTGGACAAGGAGAAGAAGCAGGTAACCGTGGAGGCTGGCATCCTCCTGACAGACCTGCACCCACAGCTGGACAAGCACGGCCTGGCTCTGTCCAAGTAAGAGCCCCTCCTCATTCCCAGGTGGGCCAGGGCTGCCCGCCACCCCCTGCACTGGCCTGGGCCAGACATTGAAGGATCTGGGGGATTCGAGAAGAGTGTTTCTCAGGGTGCCCTTCTTTCTCTGGATCTCCGTTCTTCCCCCTCAGGATGTCTGTCTCTTCATCCCCTATGGGTCCAGGGGCTCTTCTGTGGGAACAGAAAGCAGCAGGAGTTGAGTTGAACCTTACAAAAGAGTCTTGACCAAGGGTGTCACAGTGGTGCACTAAGAGTGCCTGAAAATATTCAGTAAGCAACTCTAGGGATCAAAACACAAGGATATGCAAAATAAGCACTCAGAGGAACAGAGGAGCATGGGGACCAAGCCACAGGGCTTCCTGGCATGCCCATCCACGGCCTCGCTTGTCCCTCCATCCAAATGTGGTGTTTCCATCGAAAAAAGTCAAATGCAGTCAGGGGAGTAAATCTCTGCATTTCAACCATTAGGAGACGGCTGTTTGGTACATTAGTGTAGCAATCTTACTGCAGCTGGAACTCCACCACAGAAGCCTGAACTTGGCCTTGGTGCCCCAGTCTTATCATAGGGCCTGGGCATCGCACTCCTTTGCACTCTGGAAACCATCTGCTCCTGCCCCTCTCAGAGTCACAGCAGTGCCAACTGTCCTGGAGTGTCTGCCCTGTGTGGACCTCATTCAGGCCCTGGAGACACAAAGCCTAGCAAAGCCCAGCCCCACACATAAGGACTCCCAGCCAGGGGCAGACAGGTGCAGAAACTGTCCAGCCCAGTGCAAGACGGCAGCCTCCATGACACCCAGGTGGCCAGCGCACTGTAGACCTCCAGTTGGCCCCAAGGTCAGGCCTTGGCAGGAGGGGAATGTGCGAGAGGGTGGGAATCAGAGCAGGGTCCCTGCAGGAGGATTCAAAGATAAACTAGATATTAATCAGGAAAAAGAAAGGAGGAAGGGATCCCAGGCCAAGGAAAGGCAAGCCCTGTTATCTCCACCCTCTCCAGGCCAAAGTTGAGACTTTCTTCCCCTGGGTCCCTCTGTGAGGGCCTCCATTTACCCACCTTGGTATATTCAGAAGGAGCCATATCACCAGCTAACCCAGCCATCGTGGACACGGGTAGACAGGACAGTGAGGGGGTAGGGCGTGGGTAGGGGAAGGCTAAATAGTGCTTACATTTCTCTCATCCTCTTCCTGTTCTTCCAGGGCAGCCCCCAGGGCTCATCTCCTCTCCCCAGGAAGATATGAAGGGAGGTTTTCCAGTCTTTGTTAAATGGCCTTGAAAGTAGGATAAGTAGGCCTTTGTCCTCTTGCAACTGGGGCAGGGCCAGGCCAAATGCCACCCCCCATTTTCTACTGGTGAGACCCAGGCCCAGCCCATTTCTGTATGGGACCATAGGCTACCTGGGTTGCTAGGTAGCCACAGTGTAGCCCCATGGCCCTGGCTGTCCTTGGACCATCAATAAATATTTGTTTCCTTCTCCCTTAAGCTCTTGCCGAATGTCTCAAAAAATTCCCAAGAAGTTAGTTTTTGGATTTCTTTTTTTTAAACTCCTGTTCCACTCCTCTTCCTTGACCCTGAGATCCAGGCAAGAGTTTCTAATTCCCACCCCCATCGCACACGCCTCCCGAAGGGTGCTGCTCCCCTATGGGTCTGTCCCCTGTGCCCACAGAGCTCCTCTTACCCATTCTGGGGCCCGGAGCCCCAGGCCGAGGGATACAAGCTTTATCTTGGAGTCCCCAAGGAACCCCTGCAGGTTTCCCAGCAGAGAGTGGTGGGGCCCACTCGTCCTCTCCTCACCAGCTCCCACCCTCCTGGGCTATGTGTGTGCTTGAAACCACAAGACTTCCCAGGCTGGCTGCAGAGGAGTCTGTGAAAGCATGTGCCATCGCCAGTGGAAAGATGTGGGTGGTTGGAGGAAAATGGTCTTGTGGATTGGAGACACCCCAGACCCCAAGCAGGCAGCATCCCCCCAGACTACACCAGGCCCCCCGGCTCCTCCACCAGTCCACTGAGATGAGGCAACCGAGGCACAGAGAGAAGCAGGGCCAGCCGTGCTGCCCAGGCCAAGGGTAGATGTGGGTAAGGCCTCCACTCAATCCAGGGGGCCTGTTGTCCTGAGAAGCCTAACTGGTCTCTGGTGTCCCTCTTACTCCCTCCTGCTGAGTCCAGCCTGGGAGCTGTGTCAGATGTAACAGCAGGTGGCGTCATTGGATCCGGAACCCACAACACAGGGATCAAGCACGGCATCCTGGCCACTCAGGTGGGTACCTTGCTGCCATAGGCAGGGCAGGCACAGCGTCTGCGCACCTCGAGCTCAGCCCATCTCCTCTTTGATGGAGGGAGACAGGGGCCCTCCAGGGATGGGACTGTTCAGTTTAGCAAATGGGGTCAGGGATCAGGACAGCAGCCTGATGACCCATAATAGAACCCATCCAGGTGGCCAGGGATGTCTGGCCTTTCCATAAATACACTTCTTGAACTTCATGAGGGTCCAGCTTGGGGAAGGTCTGGGGCTCAAACCTGCAGTCAAAACCTTACTCCACCACTCCCTGGGCCGGTGCACATAGGTAGATTGCTCAGCTTTTCTAGAAGTTGCTGTGAAAATCATCAGCTAAAATGAAGAGTGAGAGATGGTGTATGGGAAATGACCCTTAGGTAGCACACAAGAAATGGACAGCCACCAAATGGCAGTTCAGAGGATGCTGTGTCCAGAGCCAACCTTCCCGAATAAATAGCTTTAACTTAACAATCTGTCTTAAGAGGGGCTGATCTGCAGGTGGGTAGAGTCCTCCATGGACTCTGCCTTTTCCTGATCAAAGCTGGTTTACTGCCCAGGAGAGCCCAGTGGTATCAGGGGCTGAGGACAGCATGAGAGCCACCCCCCCACACACACACATTTGGCGATAGTCCCAGCCCATTGTCCAGGACTGATGTCAAGCAAGTTTCTACAAAATGATGAGCAGAAAACAAAAGCAATCCTGAGAGAGCATACATCCTGAGAGAGCATGCAGGATTCCCTGGCCACCTCTCTTCGGAAGCCCTGGAAGCCATGTCTGGAAACTATGGGGAGTTGCTTACTATTGGATTTTGCATCTCAGGCCTATGGCAGCTGACAACTTTAGTGTCCACTCTACACTAGGCAGATATCCTCAGGCATGGCACATTCTCTCTTTGAGTCCTCGCCCCACTTTCTGAGATGTTGTTGCTATTATACCCATTTCACAGTTAAGGAAACAGAGATGAAAGAACATGAAAGTCCATCTGTAAACACAGTGTCCACACTTCATGGTGTTTAAGTCCCATCGAAGCATTGCACAGGCCAGCTCTCATCTGCTGCTCTGGATCTTAGACAGAATCTGGTTTTTGTAAAAATTAACACGATGTCCTCACTCCCACAGATGCCACCATGCCCCATTTCTGCCAGTTTCTCCTCTCTGGTCCTTGGTCACTGTTAATCAGAATTAGTTCGGCTGTATCTTTTCTCTCATGCTGAGCCACCGAGCCACCAACTACATGTCAGAAGCAATTTCCATCCAAATTAGCAGGTAGCAGAGCGTGGAGAAGGCCTTCAACAGTGGTGAAAGAGCGTCCCTCTGGAAATGGGGGTCAAGGGTAGAGATGCTGTCACCCATTTCTAACCAAAGTTCGAAGTACTAGCAGAAACCCCAAGTGTCTGGTTGGTGTGGCCAAGAAGGAGAGTGGAGTTCCTCAGGAAAAGGGGTCCCTGAGGCAGGGGAAGGCCCAGCGTGGCCAACATGTAGACCAGGAGTAGCTGGGACCTGGCTGAGTTGGGACAGCAGGGCTGGCCTGACCCAGGGGCACACGTGCTCTTACTTTGCCTTCTGTATTAGCCAGCTTTTTGTCACTGTGACCAAAATACCTGCCAAGAATAACTAGAGGAGGAAAGACCTAGTTTGACTGGGTTTCAGAGGATTCCGTGCATGTGGGCCAGCTCCACAGCCGACACAGAACAGCAGGTGGGTGTGGCAGGGGAAGCTACTCAGCTCCCGGCAGCAGAAAGCAGAGAGAGAAGGGGCCAGGGACAAGGTCAACCCCCCACCAGGGACCTCCTTCCTCCCACTAGGTCCCGCCTCCCCGATGTGAATTCAGCTACAAGCTGAATGGATTAAATAGATCGACCCACACATGATCCAATCCCTTCCCCAAAGCCCACCTCTGGACGGTGCTGCTCTGGTGACCAGGTCTTTAACACTGGACCTTGGGAGGACATTCAAGATCCAAACCATAACCAAGCAGCTTCCCCGGAGCTCTGGGCAATGGCAGCCCGGTCCACCCCCAGAGCACCTCTGGGCAGGGAGCCTCCCTGCCTCCTGGCTGCGAGGCACAGAGGGTGAGGCAGCCATTCTCAGAACATATGGGATGAGAGCTGCTGAGGGCTGTGCCCACCCGGACCCAGCCTGCCTGTCCCTGCTCCCCTTCTGCTCTGAGACTGAGAGGCCTTGGTCTGACAGGAGACAGGGCGCGGAAGTCCCATGTGGTCCTTTGGGTGAGGCAAACAGGAAAGTGGGGTCAGTGGCCTAGCAGGGTTCTGAAGTGTGACTCTTCTCCGACTGCCAGGTGGTGGCACTGACTCTGATGACAGCTGATGGGGCGATTCTGGAATGTTCCGAGTCCAGCAACGCAGAGGTGTTCCAGGCCGCACGGGTGCACCTGGGCTGCCTGGGAGTCATCCTCACCATCACCCTGCAGTGCGTGCCCCAGTTCCACCTGCAGGAGACGTCCTTCCCCTCAACCTTGAAGGAGGTACTGTCCCTTGCTCACCACTGCTCAGCCTCGGGAGAGAAATGGAGGACACTTCAGCAAGTCAGCCACATCCCACTGACAGTCCCCATGGTCCCCATGAATTATGGGGTCTGACCTCATCACCCCTTTCTTTAGCCCTGGGGAGACTGTGGCCTGAGTCCTTTGGGCAGTAAACCCCAGAGGAACTGCAGCAGGTGGCAGACAGGTGGGCGAGAAGGGGGCCTGCCCCAGGGGACAAGAGCCAGGTGAGAGCCAGAAGAGGACACGTCCAGGATTCCCTGTGCAGTGGAAGTCTCCGCCATCATGGAACCGGGCACCCAAGAATAGCCTGTTTAGACTGTCCCCAAATACAGTCCCATTCTGAGGAACTGGAGGTTAGGACTTCAACACAAGAATTTGGGGTCAAAATGGAGCAATACTCAACCCGCAGCAGAGGTCAGGAGTCTCCTGGGCAATTGACAGTGAGAGTGTGGACCACCCCAAGAGAGGGGTGTGGGTGAGAGGGGAAGGTCCTTGGGCACAGGAGCACTCAGGGAATGAGAGGGTGAAGAGGGATTGTGAAGGAAACTAGGCCCAATCAGACAGGAAGGAAGACAGGAAGGAGAGGACCGGGTTCCCAAGGCCACAGGTGCTGGCCTCCATGTTGGAGGGGCCTCACAGCCAGCTTTAGTAGAGCACCAGCAGGTTAAGGGGTGAATGAAAATCGCATGTGAGGAAGATATGGGCAGTAGTGACCTCTCCCGGTCAGAAAGGGGCTCAGCCCCACCTGGCTGTTGAATTTGATTTTCTGCCTCTGGCTTGGGTCGGAACTTAATCATTTTGAAGCTGAATATTTTGACCCAGAGATAAAGGGATTGCTTCTTTTTGCCTGAGCACCCCATGTTCCTTTTCAGATAGCAGAGCTGCTGAGTCCTTTGACACCAGGCCACCCTCTCTGCTCCCCTTTGGCCTTACTGAGATGGGTTGAGATTCCCGCCAAGTCCCTTTTCCATTAGAGCCTCACCTTGGGCTGCTTCCCCACCCCAACATGCACACCAGCACACACGTGCACATGCACAGGCGTGTATACATGCTCACTCGTCAGCTGACAGCTGTCCATGAGCCTGCAGCTCACCCCAACATGGAGACTTGTAACTTAGGACACTCTTGAAAACTCAAAGTGAAACTTTTAAGCAATGTTTCAAAGTTCCCAATTTGGTAAGTTTCAATTGTTTCCAAGTTCCCAGTGGCTTTGATTTTAAAAGACTATGATGAATTCTAAGAAAAAACAACTGCAATCCCCTCTGCTAAAACAGAACCCACAAGTGCACACACATATAATTACACAACAAAAACTCTCAAGGGAAAGGAAATGGGCTCTGGGGAGAGGCCAGGCCCCTAAGCCTGGCTGGGCTGCTTTCTCTGGGTGACCTTGATCCTGTGCCTCAAACATCTGGGGCCTCAGTTTCATAGTGTTTTACAGGTGAGGTTGGACTTGATGTTCCCGAGGTCTTTCAGGTCTGACATCCTGTGAGCCAGCGAAGCGCTTGGATGCAAAACTGTCCCCTGTTGCCCCCCTCTGCTGGGACAGAGGGCTGTGTACTGCATTACTATGTCCCTCCTTTGGAGCATCTGCTGAGAGCACTTGGGCCTTGTCCCCGAGGAGGACAGGAGCCCACCCAGCTCATCCTCCCAGGGTGTGGGGAGCGGGATTTCTCTCCTCCCACTCACGGGTCAGCCAGTGTCCTTGGTGGCTTCTCCTTCCTCACTGCCCTTGCACCTCGCAGAAACAGTCCCCAACTCCTCCTGTCCCCAACACCTACCCTGCTGACAGGTGCATGCCGAGTCCAGGGTCTGAGCCAATCCTGGACTCTCCGGGCTGGATATCCTGGTCACACCTGATTGGCTCACAAATGTTATCCCCTCCTCTTGACATTTATCCCCTTCTTCTTGCTGCTGGGTGATCCGTTCTGCAGTGCAGAGATCTCCTCGGAGGCATCGTTGCTCCCCCAGGATCCATGAAGTACATGGAAGTGCTCAAGTAACTCAGTGGGGGTGGTCAGTTGATCAAGACCATTGATCATCCCTTTCCAAGATTTTCTCCATCTCCTCCCACCCTGGCTGGATGGGGCTCATCTCTGATCCAGTTCTGTGCCCCCCTATACTGGTTCTCCTAAAGACACCTCAATAAGGTTGTTGGGTGCCGATCAGAGTCCTATGAAAGGAAGCAGTCATTCTCAAGCCCAGAAAGGGTCAGAGTCAGCTTTTTCATGATACAGGACAGTAGGGTGAGGTCAGATGTTGGCCCAGTTCTGTGAACGTGCTGCTGAGAAGGAGCTGTCCTTGTGCCTTTTTACAATAAATTCTCAGCATTGTCCACTCATTGTAGCCTGGTTCACGTGAAATCATAGCAACTCATTCCCAAAAAACAATCCCATAGCATTATTACTCTAAATTTGAGGGACAGAACCCACTAGAAACCTTCATGCCAATAGCTAGCAAAACAGCAAGACTAAAGTCCTTTGATGGTGCTCCTAGGAAATCCTTGATCCCAGGGACCCTCGTTCTCCAGACAGGACAGTTTGCAAGTCCTGGTGGAAGAGTTGGGATGGTGCCACCAGTCAACAACCACTTAGTGCTGGATGAGCACCACAGAGTCACTGTGCCTAGTTTAGTGCTAAGTCTCCCTTCCATCATGGAATCATCCCAGGTGGGAAGCTGCATAGGTGTGTTTCAGGAATCAGAGCTGAGAAAAGGGGACCATTACATTCCCCGCTGGGATTTGGGACTTGAATCCAGAACTTGTTCCAAGACCAGAGCTCTTCCCCCCAACCCCACAACTGGAGATCAACCCCCAAAGCTATACTTGGTCACAACTCGACCCATACCTGCTTGATGGGTTTCAGGGAGATGATTCACCTGTGACATTATTTCAATGTGTCAATGATGAGCCACTTCAGAGCAGTTCATTAAAGAACTACTATGCATCAGGGGATAAGAAATAATGATAATGGTGATAGCAATGATGACAATGACAATATAAGAGTAACTGTTCTAGAAACTGTAGTGTATGCCTACCTAATGCTTAATATGTGCCTGGTATCACATTAGGCACTTCCTAGCCATTAGCTCATTTAATCTTTGTGACAGTCCTGGTTCTACAGATGAAGAACTTGAAGCAGAGTGATAAGTAACTCTCCCAAACTAGTAATTGCTTAAAGTAGGACCACAAGAAGTCACTTGTGTCCTCTAAACTATTTAGGGAAGTCATCACGTAAGTGGACCATCTTAATACCCAGCATATTTGAAGACTCATTCTGTGCCATTTGGCAATGTGTGGGCAATCTTAAGTATTTCCTTTTGCCAGAGAGAGACAACATCTGGCCCCTGATTTCCAGTGTTCGCCTTCTGTGACCACCAGTCTCTTCCCTTTCCTCGCGCTGTTCTAGGTCCTGGACAACCTGGACAGCCATCTGAAGAAGTCCGAGTACTTTCGCTTCCTCTGGTTCCCACACAGTGAGAACGTCAGCATCATCTACCAGGACCACACCAACAAGGTAGGTATGGCGGTGCCCCTGGCCCTGCCCAGCGTCTTGGAAAGGGTTCTACCCAGCCCCAGAATGACTGACACTTCATGCCTTCCTGACGGTCAGGGAGCTGGGAGTATGGCTGAGTGTAAGGAAGCGAGCATCAGGGCCAGAGGGTGGAGGGAAGGAGAAAGGGGGCCAAGTGGGACCCAGTGTATCCAGAGGGGGACCCTTAGGGTGTGTTCAGAGTCAGCCTAGATGTAGGGAGAATGAAGCAGAGGACAGGGTAGGACAGGTGAGAGTCCTAGACAGCTGGGCTGGACCTCAGAAACCTTTCTTATATCTATTCTTATATCTATTGCCCCCACCTCCAATCATAGAGTTGAAGAAACCACTAGTTTGATCTCATCCATGTCCTTGGCCAATGGCTGCTTCTCAGAAAACAAAGCCATCACCCAGATTAACCTTGAGGGGGCCACAACCCCTCCTGTTGGGGGCAGCACAGGTTCATAAAGGGTGATTGCTGGACCTCTGGGTTGTGGGCTTTCCAGAGGAAGGACAGATGGATGAACATCTTTGCCTTGTGCAAAGTAAATGAATAAACACTTGTAGAAAAAAGCATGAAACCAAAGGTTAGAGCATAGCACCTGGCTGTGCCTCCAGGAGGGAAGGCTTTCAGCTGCACCCCCCACTCTCCACCCCTGCTGCCTTCCTGCACAGCCACATCCCAGACACCAAAAGTCAGGAGGCAGCTCAGTCCTGGCACTGAACTGATGACACATTCTCCTTCCCAGCCCCCCTCTTCTTCAGCCAACTGGTTTTGGGACTATGCTGTTGGATTCTATTTACTGGAGTTCCTGCTCTGGACCAGGTAGGAATGCAAAGGAACCTTTTTCTGCAACTGCCATATGCTGCTAAAGATGTAGCTCATCAGAAGAATAATGCCCCTACCTTTATGCATGCAAGTTGTGTCTGTCTCCTGGGTCTTGGCAGAAGTTTGCATCCCTGGATGCACATTTGAATCACCTGGGGAGCCCTAGGCTCACCTTAAGGGCAATGGAAGTCATTAGAAGAGTTTGAAGGAGGAAGTATTTTAAAATGAGCCATCCAGCTGCCAGGAGGGATGGCTGGGAAGGAGAAAGAGGGAATGTGAGAAGAAGCTGCAAGCCCATGTAAATAATGCCTATGATGAGGTGGTGACTGTGGAGATGGAGAGAAATGCATGAATGAATGGATGGTGGATGGATGGATGGATGATGGAAGGATGAATGATGGATGGATGATGGATGGATGATGAAAGGATGGATTATAGATGGATGATACTTCATGCCATCCTGACAATCAGGGAACTGGGAGTATGGCTGAGTGTAAGGAAGCAAGCAGCAAGGCCAGAGGGTGGAGGGAAGGAGAAAAGGGGCCAAGTGGATAGATAGATGGATGGATGATGGATGATGGATGGATGGATGGATGATGGATGATGGATGGATTATGGATGATGGATGATGGATGGATGGATGGATGATGGAAGGATGAATGATGGATGGATGATGGATGATGGATGAATGAATGGATGGATGATGGATGAATGGATGGATGGATGATGGATAGATCCAAAGTATATTAAAACAAAAACAAAAAACACATGGTGTATTTAAAAAGTTGAAATGTCTAAACCTAAGAACAAATAAATAACAGATGTGCCCAGGCATTGATGAAATCATCTCCAGGCTCCTTAATCAGGGTCTACCTGGGACTGACCCTCTGTCAGTCACTTTAACAAAGCAAGTATCCCAGTGGCACCAGGACTGCAGATTTATTTCCTAACGGTGCATGGCTAAGAGTAGGAGACATAATACTGACACATAATGGGCACCATGTGGAGATACTTCATCCTGGGTCAACCTTCCAGTGACAGGAGATAAGAAAATGGAGAATTTCATTTTGTCCCTTCTCTGATGTTGACATCTCCTCTCCTCCTGGAGGCCATTCCACCTGTTCCCAGGCCAAATGAAGAGTTTCCTCTCATCCTCCCAGAGTCTTGTGTGCATTCCCCAGGGGTGGTGTCACTGTGATAGGTGCCTGAGTACAGTCCATCTTTGCAATGAAGTGTCTGGCATCTGATGCGTAAGACTCATTCCCTGGGTTTGACCATGAAAAAATACATTAGGAATTAGTCTCCATCTAGAGTCCAACTTCCTGTCTTCAGATTCCTGCTGTTCTACATAGCAGGACTGGGCAAGTTGCAAAATGTTTCCATGCCTCAGTTTCCTCACCCATAAAACAGAAATGGTAATAGTATTCATGACAGAGTTGCAATGCCCCAGTGAGATCAGGTAAAACTCTTAAGCAACCCTTGGCCCATGGAGGATGTACCAAGTGTTGGCTGTTATCCTTTGCTCTGAGAGGTGCCATTCACTTTTACCCTACTTCTGGCTCCTGTCTGCCCAACTCTCCCCTCCAGAGGACACTGCTTAGGGGCCTGTAGAACCAGATGATTGGCACGTCTAGGATGAGCATGTTTGTCATCTATTGGTCCTCAGGTCATCCTAGCCCCTCTGCTGGATCTCCCTCAAATGCATCCACTCCTCTCTGGTGCTGCACCCGGGCACTGTCCTTACAGCCCCAGAACGGCTCCTTTCTTCCTCCCACCTCACCCTGCACCCTCCACCCAGTAGCCAGGCTGACCATTCCAAAAGACAAATTAGATGATATCACCTCCTGCCTCAAGGCAAATGGGAGCCTCATTAAACTAAAATTCTCAAGCCATGCAGTTGTAGCCTTCTAACTGGGCAGTTTAACAGTTCTTTGTGTGTTCACAGTGTTGTACAACCAGGCCCTCCATCTAATTGAACATTACTATCACTCTCCATCAGCATTCCCCAACATCCCAACCCCAACCCTGGAAAACACTGTTCCCTGTCCCTATCAATTTGCCTATTGTGCACATTTCATGTAATGAAATTAGATGGTATGTGACCTTTGTGACTGGCTTCTTTTGCTTTGTGCATTGTTTCCAAGGTTCTTTGTGCTGCAGTATATGTCACTATTTCTTTCCTTCTATGGACAAATAATATTCCACTGTAGGGCTAGACCACATCTTGTTTACTGATTCTTCAGTGGATGGGCATTTGGATTGTTCCCACTTTTGGGTGCCGCTGGATAATGCTGCTGGGATTTTCATGTATAAGTTTGTGTGTGGACTCATTTTCAGTTCTTTGGGTACATGCCTAGTAGAGGAATTGCTGCCTCAGATGGCAATTCCATGCTTAGCTTTTTAAGAAATTGCCAGATTTCCAAAGGAACTTACCAATTTATAAGCTCACTAGCAATTTATGAAGATTCCAATTTCTCCATATCCTAACAAAGTCATCCTGTTTAAGGTGGTATCTCATCGTGGTTTTCATTACAATCTCTCTGATGATAATGGCATTCAGCATCTTTTCATGTGCTTATTGGCCATTTGTGTACCACATTTGGAGGAGAAATGTCTAATTCAGATTTTTTTGCCCATTTTAAAAAATGGATTATTTGACTTGTTACTGATGAGTCTAAGAGTTTTTTAAATATATTCTGGATCCAGTCCCTTATCAGATATATGATTTGCAAATATTTTTTCTCATTCTATGATTAGTCTTTCTACTTTTTTAATAGTGTTTTGTGAAGCACAAATAATTTTAATTCTCGTTAAGTCCAATTTATTATTTTATTGTTGTTGTTTTGTGTTATTGTCTCTAAAAAAAAAAGTCCTAACCCAAGATTATAAGGATTTTCTTCTAAGAGTTTCATAGTTTAGACTTTCAGCTCTTCTGTTGCTCTGATAATTCTCTATGGTTTGAGGTAGGGATTCAACTTCACTCTTTCCTTGTGGATACCTCGTTGTCCCAGCACCATTTGTTGAAAGGCTGTTCTTTTCCCATCAAATTATCTTTCTACTTTTGTTAAAAATCAATTGACCAAATATGTCAAGGTGATTTTCTAGACTCTCAATTCTACTCCCTTGATCTATAGGTCAGTCCTTAGCCTTCACCATCTCGATTCCTGCAGCTTTGTAGTAAATTTTTATTTGATTCAGGAAGTGGGAACGGATCTGAGTCCACACCCTTCACCGGTTTCCCCTCTTGCCTTGTTAGCCTTGGGATGAAATCACACTTTGCTCCTGGGGTTGTTTCTCCTTCTCCTCCTCCTCCTCCTCCTCCTCCTTTCTTCTCCTTCTTCCTTCTTCTTTTTGGTACCAGGAATTAAACTGAGGGACACTTATCCACTGAGCCATATCCCCAGCCTTTTTTTAAAAAATATTTTATTTAGAGACAGGGTCTCACTGAGTTACCTAGTGCCTCACTAAATTGCCGAGGCTGGCTTTGAACTTGCAATCCTCCTGGCTCGGCCTCCTGAGCTGCTGGGATTACAGGTGTGCACCACAGTGCTGGGCCTGGGGTTTCTTCTTCCTCCGAGATCTTTCTCTTGTCCACCTGGTGGGTTCCCAGTTACCCCTCCACCCACAGCTCAAACCTCCCACCTTCACTATGCACTCCAGTGAGTTAGTCCCCCTCCATGCTCCTCACCTTTTTAGTGATCACAAAGTTGCCTCCTTGAAAGTTCTTGGTCTTTCTGTCCAGCTCCTCATGACCATGCAGACGGCCTCCTTCATCCTGTATCACCAGCACCTACTGCAGTGAATCATTAGTGGCTCCAGACGGTGATTAGAGCCAGCTCAGCTCAGCAGGACCCTGAGCTGGCCGGTGCCCATAGGGTCATGGTTGGTGGCTCCCCCAGGCCCAGCACTGGCTGTCCCCACAAAGAACCTCTGGACCTTGCCCCTTGGCCCCATGCCAGGACCTGTCCCCCTCTGGCACCGCCTGCCCCAGCTGTCAGCTGCCAACCTGAGGTCTGCTTCCTCCGTCTTCCTTCCTGTCTTGGCCTCTCTGCTCACAGCCCTGAACATACACAAGACTATACAGCTTCAAGGACACAACCTAGCGCTGTCCCAGGATGGGACCGTCCCCACCTTCCCACGTCCCTGAGCCCTGAGAGCACATCATGATGTAGGAGAGCCAGGGCTTCAGGGTGTCAGGCTGACCAGGCTGGAATGCATGTCCTGGCGGTCCCACCACCAAAGGCAAACATAAATATTAGCCAGGACACAGCCCACCCGAGAGCTTCCCCTCCCTCCCCTCCACCTGGTCAGATGCACAGGCCCTGGGCGAGATGCTGCTCCAGCCTGGGGAATTTCCTTTGTGTTCTTGCCTTTCCAGTCTAGCCATGGTGAGCATTTAACTCGTTTATAAAGAGGAAAAAGGACCTGGTGTGTGGGGGCCTGCCTGTGTGTGTACACACAGATTTTGGCGAGTGAGTTTCCTGGAGTGGAAGGCCAGGTGGCAGCTCCTTCCTGGCCCAGGAAGCGCAGAGCCCTCCCTTGGTAATTACCTGGACAGTTCTAGCTCCATTTCCAGGGACAAGAACTTGGGACTGGAGACCCCATCCAAGGAACTGGTCCCCACTGGCCACTTAACTCTACAGCAATCCAGGCTTCCCAAGGTGTGGAAGGAGGGTGAATACCACAGTCCAGCAATGACCTGCTGAAATTAAAACCCCTCCTGCCCTTTGCCCCGACCAGCTGGTGAGGTTTGAGACAAAGACATTTATTGCCGTGTGGTCTGAGGTGGCAAGAGGCTGAGAACAATCTGAATAGCCATTAATAGGCGAACCATGGATGAAGGGTACAGGGTTGCCACTGGAGTCCTAGACCAAGGCCTGTCTCTGGGATCCAACAAGTCAGGTCCTACCAACGCCCCAAGCCAAACTGAGAGGGCACTGGTGGAAAGCATGCAAGGAACTTTCATCACCATAGTTACCCAGGAAGACAAGGGACCCGTGTCCTCAGCCCTGTCTTCCAGGGGCTGACAGTGACTGTTTTAGAAAAGGGAATGGAGACAAGGGTGGGGAATCCACAGAGCCGGAGGGCACAGCTGCTAGAGCAGGTGATCTAGGCCAGGTGGGGCGGGGCCCACCTGGAATCACAGCTGCCCGGGAGGCTGAGGTGGATCACAAGTTCAAAGCCAGTCTCAGCAACTTAGTGAGACCCTGTCTCAAAATTTAAAAAAGGGCTAGGGATTCGATTCGATCCCTGGTACCAAAGCGAGCTTTTCTTGCCTGAGACATAGTTTTGATTCTTGTCTCAAGAGCTTAAACCATCAGGCCTCTTGCTCCTGGAGTCCAAGGTGATGTGATGAGGCCCTCCCTCATGAAGTTACAGTCCCCTCACCTGGTTGGCCATGCGGCCACTGAAAATGGTTTAGAGCCACAAGCTGGAGGAGGGATTTCCAAGCTGTAAATAAGCCACAAAGGCACACGAGTGTTGAATGAGTACCTTGCATACAGCTGGCACACAACACATGCAGGTATTACAATTATGATGCCCCCTCAGCAGAACCCAATGTGCCCTCCCCGTCCCCTCCAGCACCTTCCTGCCTTGCCTCGTGGGCTGGATCAATCGCTTCTTCTTCTGGCTGCTGTTCACCCGCAAGAAGGAGAACAGCAACCTCAGCCACAAGATCTTCACCTACGAGTGTCGCTTCAAGCAGCACGTCCAGGACTGGGCCATTCCCAGGTAGGCCTGTCCTGGGGCAGCTGTACCCAGTGGGCCACCCCAGAGCAGAGCCCTGTCACCACCATGCAGAGCCTGGGGTTCGCCCCTTCCTCTCTGAGGTCTGGCTTCTGTCCCCCTGGACTGAGCGCAGAGAGAAGACCGAGGAGGCCCTCCTGGAGCTGAAGACCATGCTGGAAGCCCACCCCAAGGTGGTGGCCCACTACCCCGTGGAGGTGCGCTTCACACGGGGGGATGACATCCTGCTGAGCCCCTGCTTCCAGAGGGACAGCTGCTACATGAACATCATCATGTACAGGTGATGGGCTCACGGAGAGGCTGGGCCAGGTGGGAGGAAGTCCCCCTGGATTTGAAAGTGCCCTTCCTCAGTGTTTCAGTGCTGGCTCGGACGCCACCTTCTCTAGGGGGACTCTGCTTATTCTGACAGCTGGAGACGGTCTCTCTCTCTGAATTCCTTATGACACTTCCTCTCTGTAGGCTCTGATGACATAGATGTGGCTAGTCTATATTATGTTAATGTAATGTTCATATTGCTTATGAATTAATATCAATTAGGAATAACTCTGATGCAGATATTGTGGAATGACAGCTATAGTCCACCTCATGAGCCCACACTGGTCAGGGATCCTGACAGCCTGGAATGCCGGGTTAAGAAAGATTCCGAGGCTGGGTATCAGTTTGGCAGGAGAGAGGATCCTGCTTGACACCAGGTGCCCTCTTGATGGCTCTGCAAGGCACATTCCCAGGGCTGCATTGTCTTCATCCTTCCGGGCGGGGCATCAGGCTCCAGGAAGAGGCTCCTGTCCCTGGGGAGTAGAAGTTCAAACATTATAAAATTTCTGCCTCCCCATTCCACCTCCGTCCATCACTGCCCTTCTGACTGCATGAGAACACTACCCCCTCACCCTCCCTGAGTGTATTTCTTCAGTGTAAGACCCAGCCTCGGTGGGGGGGGGGGGTCCAGGGGATGATTCAAGAGAGCACTGCTGCTGAGGGCATCCCAAAGAGCCAGGACAGAGAGTTTCTGGATGACTGATTAAAGGGGCAGTGGCTCACATCAGAGAGGAGCAAACTCCTGGTGAGCCCCGCACCCCATCCATCTGTGGCTAGTCTATATCTTCTCCCTACCTGTGAATTCCCATTCAGAGGTGAGGAGGTCGGCGGGGGAATGCATCTCAACATGTTCATCTGCATCTTTAAAAATGAAGTCAGACTTTTCTGTCAGGCAGTCAGTCTGACTTGGCCGGTTGACCAGGCGGTGAGAACTGGGTTGTCCATTAGGTCATATGACCACGTTCTCCAGACCTGAACCAGGGTATCCTGAGCTTCCAAGGTTCTGTTAAAAGATAGCTAAAGCACTGAGCATGTGTATGGAGACACACACATACAATCATGCGACACTCAACAATGGGGACATGTTCTAAGAACTGTCAGTGGGTGCTTTTGTCATTTTGAGCATCACTGGGTACACTTAGATAATTCTAGGTCGTACCGCCTACTGCTCCCCTAGGCTATAGTTCAGCCTGTTGCTCCTGGGTTACAGACCTGTGCAGCACGTGGCTAAGGAGGCAATTGTAACACAATGGGCTTTGTGCATGTAAAGGGAGCTGAACAGAAAAGGCACTGTCTAGGTACTAGGTGACAGGAATATTTCAGCTGCATCATCTTATGGAACCACCCTTATATATGTGGCACAATGACTTTCAGATACCAGTTAATAATACACAAGGGGACATACAGTCTTCAGAATTCTTTGGGGATAAGCAATGCTCTGGAGACGCTGGATAGCCGCTGTCCATGTCCTGGGGGTAGAGTCAGCCTTAATCCTCACCCCACATGCCAAGACTGGGTAGGTAGGTACCTGATGACTGGGTTGGATGCAGGGCAAGGGCAGGGCTCACCTCCTTTTGTCGTCCCCCACCCCAGGCCCTACGGCAAGGATGTGCCGCGGCTGGACTATTGGCTAGCCTACGAGACCATCATGAAGAAGTTCGGGGGCAGGCCCCACTGGGCCAAGGTAGGACTCCTGGGCAGAGCAGCAGGGCAGAGCTGTGAGCTGTGGCTTCTACCAGGGGGCGCCTCTCCCCCTGTTCCCCCAGAGCGCTCCAGGACAACCATCAGAAACGCTGCGGCTGATCCTCCCCCACACTCAGCTCCTCTCCCTGCGCTCTGTTCCAACACACCAGGACTGCTGTGCTCTCCGGTCTTCAGAGAAATGCAGTCTTTCACTTTGATTCTCATAGGAAGCTTATGAGCAGGATTAGGCACAGGCATCAGTGAACCCATTTAACAGACAGGAAAGTGAGGTCGCTCCATGGCACTGAAACCACAGCCCCTCCACTAAGGCACGCTGCCCTTGGCAATGGGAATAGCAATCCAGGGCTGCATTCTAGCCCCTTCCTGCTGTGCCTTCCAGGACCCTCTCCCTTCTGTTTGGTCTCTACGTGGTGCACCTGCGTGTGCGTCTGGGGGAGGGGTGTTTCGCACACAGGCTTGGGGACTCTGGGGTGGCTGCCTTGCAGCCCTGCTGAGCTGCAGGCACCAGGGACAAGGCCCGCTGCTTCTGGTTGTCTCCACAGGCCCACAACTGCACCAGGAAGGACTTTGAGAAAATGTATCCTGCCTTTCCAAAGTTCTGCGCCATCCGGGAAAAGCTGGACCCCACTGGGATGTTCCTGAATTCATATCTGGAGAAGGTGTTCTACTGAAGCCGTAGAACCCCTCGCCCCCAGCCCACCTTGATAAGGGTGGAGGCCCAGCGTCCCCCAACAGAGGGCAGACCTCCCCTCCAGACCCCACAGCCAGAGCTGGGCTCCCGCAGTCTCCCCTCCTTCCCTCCCTTATCCTCACAGCGCGCCCAGAAGGAGGTGGCCCAGCACCCCAATCCCTGTTTACATCTCCGTGACCTCCTTTTCCTACCCCTATAATCAACACACCTGGGAGAAAGGGGCAGCCCAACATAGTGTGTTTGTCCAGAGGTCAGAGATTCGCTCATTGGCAAGGTCCACCTGCTGGCTAGGTGGGAGTGAAGTCCCCAGGTCTGCAGCTGCAGGGGTCCCTCCCCAGCCCCCTTAGCAGGTGTGTGGGCACAGAGGTGGTGTGGACCTCTGCCTTCTCTCCCACATGAGGCTCTTTCAAATGCTCGGCTTACTGCCTGCCTACAACTGCTCTCTGCCGGAAGCCTTGGATAGCCTGGGTCTGACCGTCAGTCTGTCTCTTTCAGGGGGTGTTTAGGGGGGACCCTCCTCATTCTCTTCTTAATAAAAACTAGCAATTGATTCACTGTGTTCCCTCCTCTTCGCCCCCAGGGTGACTCTGGGAGCAAGGCTTGCTCCACTGGCCTCCCTTCTGGGGCCTGCCTCGGAAAGGTTTCATATTCCCTCTGGAGTGAGTTTGCCTCTCCCTACCTCTGGGCAGCTCCTGGAGCGTGCCTTGGTGTTCTCGGGGACCTACTATGCACCAAGTGCTTTGGGGGAATTAAAAGAAACTTAAGATAGCTTTCTGCCCTCGAGAAACATACACTAACCATCTCTCTCAAGGGGTTAACATCTAGAATACACAGAGAACTCCTTTGCTTTGCCAACAGAAAGGCAATCCCACCAACAATAGGCAAAGGACTTCAACCTCAGACATTTCTCTAAAGAAGATACGCAAATGGCCAATGAGCACGTGAAAGATGCTTAGCATCACTTACTTAGGGAAGTGCAAATAAAGCCACAATGAGATACCACTCCACCCCCAGGAGGATCAATATTAAAAACTATAAGGTTTTTAAAGAGCAGAAAATAACAAAGTGTTGGTGAGAACCTGGATCTTGTGTTTGGAATCCTGTGCTTTGCTCATGGGATGCAGAACAGCACAGCTGCTGTGGGAAGAGGTGTATTCCCAGAGGAACAGAAGCAGGATGTTACAGGGACACGTGTGCACCCCTCTTCACAAGAGCCAAAACGTGGAAGCAGCCCGAGTGTTGCTGAGTACATGAATGGATGTGCAAAATGGGGTCTGTATCGACAAGGGAATGTCATTCAGCCTCAGCAAGGAAATTCTAGTACCTTCCATGACATGGATGAACCTCGAGGGCATGGCACTGAAATAAGCCAGTCACAAAAGGCAGCACAGCACGGGTGTGATTCCATTTAAATGAGGTGTCTAGAGAAGGCAAATTCATAGACAAATAGAACAGTGGTTCCCATGGACTCCGAGTGGGGGCCACAGAGACGTGGAGTTGAATGTGCACAGAGTTCGAATAGTTTGGGAAGTTGAAAACAGTGCTGGGCATGGATGGTGGTGACATCTGCATGACTGTGCAAAAGTTTTTCTTTAAAAAAGGTGCTTAAAATGGTAAATTTTATATTCTGTATTTTTTTACTCCAAAGATTAATATTTGAGTTGGAAAATACAATGTGCCAAGAATGTTCAACAACGGGAAGGAGGACTATGATGCCGTGTCAGGGAAGTGGCCCAGCAAACCTTCCTGTGCTGCACAACAGGGGGGCTCAGCCACAGGACCTGAGTCCATGGCCTGGACAGCAGGCTCTGTCTGCAGCAAAACCAGCTGGGGGACTTGGGGGTTCACTGCACAATGAAGACGCAGAGCTCCTTGTTCAACACTGGTCCAAATCTCAAAGGGATGACAGGAGAACATTAGGCAAAGCATGAGGCCCTTCTGAGCCAACTCGGGGCCTCACCTGGCAAGGGCCAGCCCTGCCCAGAAGTGCACGCGGCAAGGTGTAATGGTTACTTTTGTGTATTGACTTATAAGACTTTAGAATCAAATTATTTAACCAACTACTCATCTACCTATTGCTGTGAAGGTATTTTGCAGTGGTGGCTGATCTTTTATGATCAGTTGACCTTCAGTAAAAGCCCCGACCCTTCATGTTATGGGTGGGCCTCACACAATCAGTTGAAAGGCCTTCAAAACAAAAATTGAGATTTTTGAGAGAAAGAGGAATTTGGCCTCAAGACTATGCACAAACACCAGCCTCCAGACTTCTCTGCCGACTTGGGGCCTGTGAAAGAACATGAGCCCCTGCCTGGAAAGGAATCTCTTGACATAAATATATACACTGGTTATTTTTATCTGAGAACACTCCCTGATCCATAGGCTAAAAAAATGGGTTGATGAAACTTATAGAACGGAAAGAAAAGCAGGTTGAACACTGCTTCGGAAATCATTAAGTCCAAGTCACCCCCACTCACTCTACAGATGAGGAAACCGAGGTTCCGAGAGGTGAGAAAACTTGCCCAACATCACATAAGAAGCTGAGAAAGACAGTGTCTCCAGACTTTTCAGCCCCGTAGCCCTGTATTTTAGAGAGCTTACACTTTAAACTCTATGAATTTTACATTCTATCCCATAATATTGTTGTGTTTTAAAATTCTGAGTAATGTTCCATTTTCCAAATCTTGAAATGACATTTCTGGAAGGAGGGCCATGCCTGTCCTGTGGACTTCTGGCCGCCCACGCCCGTCCCAGTGGAAGAAGTGTAGCTGGCCCAAAGGCTGGAGAGGCTAAACCTTGAGGTTCAGTGAAATCTTACACAATTCAATGTTCTGGAAAAAGTCCTTCCAATTACCAGGGAAACTGGCTGCCCTTTTTAGTTCTGCCTTTCAATAGATGTGATTCATTCTTTTGTTGATTTGGGATCTCTTGATGTCTGAGGCCATCTTTCCAGAAAATTCTCCTTCCAGAGTCCTCTTGACAATAAGCTGTGTGCCCTGAGCCCATGAGCGGGGCTCCGGAGGGCGCTGCTGATCTATCTGGGTTCTCTTTCTCCCCTTTCCCTGCTTCCTCCTGCAGCTCCCCTTCTTCTTGCCTTGCCCGGCTCCCTCCCTAACTGGCTGAGTTTGAGGTGCTGCCCCCTGCTGGCAAACCCTCTCCTCATCTCTAAGACTGGACTGGAAACACAAGAAGCTGGAAATGCCAGCAGCATCCAAGAATTGGAAATGGAGCGGAGGATGAGGAACTGCGCACCCAGCCAGCAGGAGCTGCTCTCGAGGTTGAATTTGGGGTGGGAGGTCGCACCCCAAAGGGCAAAAGGAAACAGCAAATCCTGCCATTTGTGGCAGCTTCTCCTCTCCAGGTGGCCCTCTCATCCCTACACTCTCCTGAGAAAAAGAGGGGTCCAGGGGATGCAGCCACTTGACCACCGCTCAGAGGTCTCCCCACCTGCAAAGACATAGGATAATATTTAAAGACCCAGGACAGATGCCCTTCACTTCACCAGGTGACTCCGAAGAGGGGTAGCACAAAGTTAGCAGAGTTGACCAGGCCACCTGCATGGGAGGGCGTGGAGGACAGAGAAGCTAGGAAAATTCTGAGCCTTATATAAGGTCTTATGGCCTTGTGGTCAGCAAAAACCAGCTAAAGCCCACCTTCAGTGGGAGCCACAGCTCAGTGGAAGGAAGGAAGGAATCCCTCTCTGATCATTCAGTGGCAGACCCTGGAAGGGATTCAAAGTTGTCCCTGGTGGTGGCTATCTGTGCCCAGGAGAAAATCAAGCTGCCGGACTCTGACCTGAACTGGCTCAGCCTGCCAGACCCAGCCCCAGGAAAGACACAGAGAGGGAGGAAACCCTAGGGGTGGCACTGGGGGCTTGCTGAAAAGGGAGAGTTCCCTAAGCCACCGCTGGTTTTAAATTTAGAAGGGATGTCCCAGAGCCACCTGGAAGGAAGGTGTGACTCTGAGGCCTCCAGTTACTAGAATAAAAACACAGGCAGGTGCTATCCCAATAATAGGAAGAAGAAACCAGATAAACCACTCTGAGCACCTCACCCCCCAGGCCAGAGTGTCATTAAGGGGGACTATGAACTACAGGAGGAGACACAGCAAGTCCCTGAGCCTTGCTCCTTCAGCCATGACTGTGGGTTTTCCCTGGAACATTTCAGAGGTCAAGAGAGGACCAGGCATTTCCAAAAAATTCCAAAGCACAATCCCCTAAATTTGGGGTGGTTTTGAATTTTGGCAGAGCTTCCCACCCACGGGATGCACTGACCCACCCAGTGGGAGCCTGCGCAGCGCCAAAGGCGATTGCAGACACAGCTTACCAGCCGATTCCCTGTGTCCCCAATGGGCAAGTGGCTGGTGGTGGGACCCAGGTTAGATCCTAAGAGGAGCCTTGGCTTTGGTGTGGCTGCATGACTATGGCTTGGCACCCATGAAGTCAATGGCGAAGATGTACGTGTCCTCGTGAGCGTGAGGCTGGAGTGAGAGGTGCCCTGTCCCCATCCCCGTGCTGTGCCTGAGGGCTGGGTGCTAGCCCATGTGGGATGGGGCACTGGAGGCCAAGGTGAGGTTGTGGGAGTTGTCTGGTGTCAGTTGAAGGTCACAGCCTTTGTTCCGCTGGGCGATGGTGGCAGAGTGAGAGCAGGCAGCTCATGGTGCTGTTCCTCCGCGCGCCCTTTCCTGACTGAGCCCCCACCCGACCTCAAGGCGGACCAGAACTGGCCTCAGACTGGGGACAGGGGCAGGAGGGCTGTACAACTCTGACACTGACCACTTCACACGGCAATGTATAATCCAGGAGGACATTGACCGAGGGTTAGGATCAGTGATCACCAGATCAGTATGTGGGAACAGCGGCAGAGAGCTCATTATAGTGATCGCCCTTTCCATTAACAATCTCTAAAGACCTGAGCATTTTTGCATCTTGTCTAGAGCTATTTCATATGTCCTGGGTTTGCCAGGCTCCTCCTTCCAGCTAAAATACACCTGGCAATGCCAGGTCCGTGCAGGACACTGGAGTGGGAATCCCTGGGCAGCTAACAGGTGCCAGTGGGACCCGTTGGCCTGCGTTCAGATCACACCTGCGTTGGGTCCCAGCTCTGGCCCTTGGGGCTAAAAGCTTGCAAACAAGTGGCCCCTGCCATTTCTACAGCTTCACTCGCAACAGCCTCTGCAGGCCTCCCCTTGTTTCCACCTCATGCTTAATTCTGAATAGCAACTTCTGAAACCAGTCTGCTCTGGTGCCAACTCACGTGAGGCCACCCGTAGGAAAACCTGCCCACCGTAGTCAGTGCCTTCTCACTCGATACCATCTCCAGCACATCCTTTTACTTCCTGTTAACTCCAGTTACTGGAACACTCGGTTTGCTTGAATCAATCTCACTTCCAAAACCAAAGCCCTCCCCCTCCCCCATCAGGCTGGCCCTTGTGTTGACCCCAGCCCTCTCTCCAGAGCTCTGCTTTGCTCACCCCTGGGCATCTGCCAGCTCCCACCCTTGCCTGCTCCCTGCTCCCTCACAGTGAGGGATGGGCAACTCTGAGGTCCCTTCACCAGCTCTTGGGGCTGTGAGGAATTGGGGTGGGGGTGTTCCCACATCCTGCCCACATGACACTTCTCTGATGAGGGCCACACTCTTTTGTAACTTGTGGGAAATAACCCCTCCTCCAGGGTAATTGCTGGGACCTAATGGGACAACACAAAGCAGTTGACCCAGGAGTCAGAGCGCTCTGGCTGGCCAGTTCATAGTTCCCGGGTGCTGGGCACTGCTGAGCGCTAATGTCACTTACAGTCATCCCAGACTGTATCTCCTTACAGCTTTCTGGCAGATGATCGTCAAGTGTCAGCTCAGGCTAACAGCAGATTGCCGATCCAGGTAGACATCAAAGCCATCTCTCTCAGATCACCAAGCCCTGTTCCCACTTTGGCACAAGAGTTCCTGGACCCCAAACCAAGGGCTCATTATCCACAGCCCCCTCCCCAGATTTAGCTGCATCTTATCCCCAAGCCTTGGTGGTCTCATGTTCTGCCTCAGTCTTCCTAGTGTCTCAGGTTGGAACTCTGTCGGGGATAGAGGGTCATCCAGGGATCCTTAAAACCAGGCCACCGTGCAAAGGGGGAAAGAGTGGAGGCACGGGGTCCCCATGAAGCTAAATCAGCTGCGGGGCCTGCCTTTTAGGGCTCCAGTGTGAGAGTTGAAAGTAAGTGCATGAAGAAAAATCCCGAACACTGAATACAGTAACTGCCACAATCTAGCAACCCAACAATGGAAAAGATGAAGAAATTGTTCAAGCATGCTCTGTGACATTAGCATGATATGTAATTTATAATTATGGTCATTTCAGCAAATCCTCTCTGACCTCATAACCCTGGCTACCGTATACCATTAAGTTAACTGCACTGATCTTCCTCTGATTTTCCTTGAGAATAATCCTAAATATTAACCTGAGACTAAGGTTACCACTAAGCCTTACCACTTTGATGCCCATGTGGCCAAGGTACTTGGCAGTGTCCTAAGGATATTCTAAGCCATGAATGTGCATGTGGACTTTGCCACAAGCCTGGCATGCAACCAGATGGTTTTTTTTTCCATGTGCAGCATATTTGATGGATAAAAGTCTGCAATTAGAGAACATTAATGAATGCACAGCTTGATACTTATGGATTTAGGGTTGTATCACGGTTAGTTAGCGCCCCCTTTTGGCAATATCATAAACTGCAGCTCAGTTAAATTTCAGACTGAGCTGCAAATGAGTCTTCTAGACCTGGGCAGAGAAGTGCCTGTGGCCCAGAGTAAGACAGAGGGACAGTGGCAGGGGAGTCCACAGTCAAGAAGGTGCCCATGTATTCCAAGTTCACAAAATAAGAAAATCGCCTCATTTGATCTTCACAGACTATAGTTTTCATAAGGAAAATATCAATCATGTATTGAATACCCAGCAAGTCTTATCGTTACCCCCTCTTCGCCTGATCTGGTTCTTAGTGTATTCCTTTGAGAGATCACCCGTGCCCCAGTTAGAATGCGCTGACAGTTTTATAACAATGGAAAAGATTCATGTTTCAGGGATTTCTTTTAGTTGGCTTGTGGCATATACCGGTTTTTCTCAAAGCAGGAACGTCTTGAACTGGCTCAACTTTGTCATCGTACATATCCCTCTTACTCTCCATTGTGTGATCATCCTGAGCCATCAGCCACTACTAACTGTTCCCATCTCTTCCTTTTTCCTTACCCCCCCACCCTCGCAGCCCCACACCAAAATAAAGGAGTTGGGGGGTAGAGGACGGGGAACAGCACGAAGAGAACTTGGGGCACTCAGGTCACAAGGTAGCTTTATTGAATTAGTTGCATGCGGAAGCAGCTCTTCCCACAAGCAGCAAATACAGGCATTAGAGCATAAAATCCTGGAGAGGCCAGCGGGACTGGGGCCTAGTCACGGAGAGACATGCAGAGCTCTCTGGGGGGCTGTGGTTCGTCTCAGGGGAGCTGCACTCAGATGCCTCTGTTTATGGAAAAGCAACACTCACACTCACTCCTCTCTGAAAAATAAAAGGGGAGTACGGGAAAGGGTGGATTTTCACCAAAAAGCAGCCACCAACACCCACATTCTTATCTGTTAGAAAAGAACATTCCTCAGAGGAAAAATAAAATTCCCGGTGGTTTCCTGACTTTGTTCTTGGGCTCTGGCCACAGGCATGGGCATTCTGCCCAGACTTTATACCCTGTCCCTTATCTCAGCCCCCAGGGACATCTAGGGCTCTGCAGAGCCAAAAGAAAGGCCTGTCCACCTACCGGCTCTTCTTGCGGTATTCCTGCAACGCTTTCTCTGCCACAGTGTCCATAAATTTAGGGTTGTTTTTGGGGACCTCTGGGATTACCACAGTGATGGGGTCTGAGTCGAAGAGCTTCACAACCACCTCAGTGACACGGGAGGGGGCTTCTGAGTCGGAAATGTGGGAGGTCACCTAGACAGAATAAAAGAAAGAGAAGAGCCGCATGTCACGGCCACAATGCCCACATTTTATAATAAGGCCTATGACGCAGAAGCTCCATCACACCTTCAAGAACACCTGGACATCTGACAGGTTGCTTGTTACTAATACAAACATCTGTGCAACTCATCTGATCAGAAATGCCCTGCTTCACACACGCCTTTGAAAGGACAAAGGCCATCTGCAAACGACCAGCCCAGTGGGCACCCAGAGGGTAAAAGTGTTTTCTAAGAACTTTTCTTAGTGCAGCTACTGGCCAGTCTGTGGTCACAAAAAGAATCCGAAAAACAAAAACAGGGTCTTCAACACTAGAGAGAAATTGGCACTGGCAGAGGACAATCAGCAACCATGATCCACTCCCCATGGCCCAGGACACCAAGCAGCTTTGAGAAAGAGTCCAGCCTTTGCAGCCAGGGCTAACTTGCCAGGGGAGTTGCCCATAGTCCTCCAGGCTGGGGCTAGCTCTGGGACCTGGCTCGCTCTCCTCATCTGGGGACGGTCATGTTATTCTGCCTCCCTGGCTGGGTCTTTAGTGCAGCACGGTACAGATGGGTTTCCTATTTCCTGCTCTGTGGTAAATGCCCAATGAAAAACCTAAGTGCCCTCTGTAAATCTGTGTCCCATCTTTGGGCTCACATCACCTCCAGACCATGTCTCAGGTCGCCCCCGCATCAGCGTGTGGCCAGGACACAACTCACTGTGGAGACCCGGAGATAGGCCTGGTCTTCGCTCTGGGTGAGATTGGCCAGTTGGGACAGCCAGCTGAACTGGTCGTTGAGCTGCTCCAGCAGGGAGGAGGTGTTGAACATCTTCCGCTGGTAGGAACGGAGCAGCTCGTTGTACCTCTGGGTCAACCTCTCGGCGATCTGGAGGGAGTCGTTGAGCTCCTGCCGCAGCTGAGCCTGGGCGGGGTTGTTGGTGGAGCAGTCTGTCCAGAGGGGGAAGAGCACAAGGCAGAAACATGAAGGGAAAGATCAAAAGGGGCAAAGATGCGAAGGGAAACCAGCCCACACAGGCGGGAATGGCAGCGCACAGGATGTTTGTGAGGGTCCCCCCAAAATAGAGTTCTCCCCAGAACGGGAATCAAGACACTTGCTCCTTCATGAAGAAAGGCTTTCTCCAGGAAAAAAAAAAAATGTCAGCTGAACTAAACAGGGTGCTTAGTGATGTGACTGATTTATCTCCTTGGCAACTGGTAACAGTGTCGAGCACACTTGACGAAAATGGATCTCCAGTGCTCCATGTCCTCACACCCAGGTCCTCGCAGAAGTCATTTCAGGAGAAAGGGGATTTTACTCACTCACATGGCTCCTGCTATGTACCAGATACCACATAAGGTGCTCTTTTCTCATGGTCTACGCATTCTGACTTAAGTATTAACATCCTACTTTACCAATAATGAAACTGAGGCCCACAGGAGTAAGACATTTGCTTAAAGCCATCGAAGAAATATCTTCAGGGTCAGAGTCGAACTCGAGTCTTTAAATCTTCATCTTGGGCTCTTTATACTTGGTGTCTGGGGTTCTGGAACATCTCCAAGCTTCTCTTTTGGGCCTATCTGCAGAGTTGGCAATTCTGGTTCTCAAAAGCCCATGCAGCACAGGGCTGTCCAGGACCTTAGGCCACCAAGCAGAGCAGGCTGGTGGCTGGGAATCCTTGCCTGCCCCCTGCCCACTAAGGCTGGTCACCAAGCTCAAGAGAACAGGGAAGACATAATCCATTCCTTTTGGTCAAGTGTCACTGCAGGTTTTCAGATCTAAATGCTACCCATTATCTTTTTAACTACTGTTTTTCTCTCCCTAAATTATTTCAAAAATATCCAGAAGAGGGTACCTCAAACCTAAGTGAATCAGGGGAAAGGAGATCTCTGTCTTCGTCTGGCGGCACCTTGCAATCATTGATAATAATAATAAAAAAGAATGTCAGGTGGGACAAGAAATAGCATTAATGTCAAGAAGGTGGTTGGAAGGGAATGTGTGATGAGTGACTTTCAGTCTCTTACCAGGAAATAATTAAAAATAAGAAAAGTTCTCCAGAGCCGAGACTCTGCCTGGAACAGTAATTCTCCACTAGGGAAGATGCAGCCTCCCAGGGGACACTTGGCAAGTTCTGAAGACACTGTTGGCTATCACAACTGGTAGGGGGAGGTTGCTACCGACATCTAGTGGGCAAAAGCCAGGGATGATGCTGAACTCCCTGCAACACACAGGTCAGCCTCCAGGACAGAGAAGGTCCAGTCCAAAAGGTCAGCAGGCTGAAACTGAGAAATCCTGGGCCAGTGTCCCCAGGCAGTACAGCTTAGATACTTCAAAGTGCCTTGAATAAAAAGCTACTGCTTTTTATTCTTCCCCAAGCCAAAAAAGGGGGTCTATTGAATTCAGTTGATAGGTGCACGAGGTCCGATCTGAGTCTAGGCCCTAAGGTGACAGCTTTCTGCCATTCTATGATATTTTTATGGGAAAAGCTCAGAAGCATGGTCATGTATGTATCTTCAGCTTCTTTGCACTCTAGCCCCTGAAAGCACTATTATTTATTTTGCTTCTAAACTCACAGGAGCAAGGCTCGGAATATTTAACCAGACTGTAAAGGTTTGCCAGGCCTTTACAGTAGGATAAGCCACAGTAGGATGAGCTACCTACCAGGAGAAAGTTAGCTCATTCTGAGCAGGGAAACTACTTACTAAGGACTTTCATAGCTGTTATCTCAAAGTAGGGAGAATTTCATTAATAGCCAGACCTGATTAAATGGAGAGAAACAGTTGAAGGCAGATCTTTCCTTTGCCTGGGGAAGTGATGGACAAAAGGAAATGAAGAGTGCCAGCATGAAGGTGGACGAGGTCCCTAGGGCCCCCAGGGAGAAAACCCAGGGTGCTGATTGCCAACACAGCCCAACCCCCAGCTGGCCTGTGGTGGGGGTCACACAGTCTGAGATAAGTGACTCAGCCTTCCTGTGACCTGCGCTTGCTCCTCTGCAAGGTGGGGACAAGAACTGCACCCAACTTATCAGGTCGTCCTGAGGACATGAGTAAACAGCCGTAGAGTTTAGAACGGTACCTGCCACGTGGGAGCGTTGGTCAAACAAAACACACGCTGCCTACAATTTCATAACGTGCCGTGGAAAACGAATATGGCCAGCACGCCTGGAACCTGGGGGCACAGCTGGGGAGGTGGCTTTCTTTCACAAACCTTGGCAGCACCCACCGCAGGCTGCCTCTTTACCACGGACCTGCCCAGTGAGGGGCACCTTACGTTTGTCTCAGAATAATCTGAATCTTCAACCTTTGAGGGCACCAGGATACTCAAGGCTGAGGACCTGCCCTGGGGTCACAGCTCAGAGGTACAAAGCTGGAATCTGTAAAAAGGCCACCCCACGAGGCTACAAGGAACTAGGACACAGCCGATGACAGGGAAAGCTGGCACTCTGACCCATAACTCACCCACAGACAAGATCTCCTGGCACTTGTCACACCGGTCCTTCATCTTCAGGCATCCTGTGGAGTTGTGGCGGATCTCCTTGCACACGGCCTTCTGGTCATCGTCACCTTCTGCGGACACGTGAGGGAAGAAAGAGGCTGAGGCGCTCGGCAACACAGGGCAGGCCCCACTGATTTCTCAGCCCCCTTCTACAAAACTGTTTGGCCCTTTGAGATCCTGTGGTCAGAGCAGGTTGAGACTTGGTTATCCGCCTCCACACATGGCTTGGGGTCTGTCATGCTTGGGGTTCCTGCAGAGGGACCTGTGGGCCCCTGTCCAGGCAACTGCCTCCCCTCCATCTGAAGAGACCCCTCTTGCCCCCACACTCCTCTGCATAATGCAACTTGCTCTGCACTCTCCCTGGCTCCTGCTCTCCTGCTGGCTGGTCAGCAAGGCTCTGGAAGGAAGGGGTGCATCCTCCTCAGAGCCTCCTGACACCACAACTTCCACCCCTGATGGAGCTGCAGGAGACACTTATTCAGCACGAGGCCCTCCGGCACTTTCATGCTTTTCGGGCCAAACCCCAGAGCCGAACCATACAGAAGAGGGCGCAGCGTGGCCAACAGAGCCTTGATGAAGGAAATCTACTCCTGAGGGTCTGGGCTTCTCCTGTCCACATCACACCTCACTCTTAAACTATGCATTGCGCCCTCATTCTGAACCAGGCCCCATGGTCACAGCCATGAACCCCTTCCTTAAGGGTGATGTGGCTGTGACGTACTTCCCTGCCAAGAAGGTGTGGCCCCACACCAAGCCCCCTAAATTCACCAGGGAAAGAGGCTCCAATCCCATAGGAAGGGCAGGCAGTGTCATGCAGAGCAGCAGCTGGTTGGCTGGAAATAACACCGACTCCAACCCCTACAGAACTACATGGGGGGACCCCACTTTGTCGGCCCTGAAACCTCATGCATTCCTTTACCTCTGTCGCAGTCCTCTTCCTCTTTAAATGGGTTAATGCCACCCTCCCGGGGTTGCTGGGAAACATGGGGATGAACACATCTAGTGGGCTCCCATCCCTCCTTGGAAGAAAGGGACCTCTTTCTGACCTCTTATGAAGTCCATGTTCGGGGACTGGGAGCCTAGGCCGTGGAATGGGACGTCCATGGCCTGTTGAGCCTGGTGTATCATTTCGAAGAAGGGCTGGAACAGGTCCTGGAAGCCCAGATGCCCGTAGGGGGAGAGAGGCAAGATGCTGCGGGCGAGGCGGGACTTGTGATAGAGGAAGTGAGGCCTCCGGTGGGGGAAGCCGAAGGGCGAGAAGTAGCGGGTGTCCTGGGGCTCGTGGGTGAAGAAACTGTCCTGGAACAGTGTGTCCATGATCCCAGAGGCCCTGGTGAAGCTGTCCTGCATGGCATCCAGGATGTGGTTCTGCTTACGGTCGCTCTCCAGCAGGGAGTCGATGCGATCGCCGTTCATCCAGAAGTAGAAGGGCGAGCTCTGGTTCAGGAACTCCTCCAGCTGGGTGGCCAGAGGACTCAGTGAGGAGGTGCCTGCCCGGCCAGCCCTGCCTCTCACAGCACAGGCACACAGCAGGTGACTGAAGGGCCCCCACTGGACCGGCTCCCAGGTGTACCACCTGGGAGGCCAGTGCCCCCACCACCCACTCCACCCCCACCAGGCCCTGAGGTGCACAAATCCCCTAGAGTTGATGAAGTCCAGTTCAGAGGGGCCCCCTGTCACTTGTGGCCTTTAAGGACACTGGCCCAGCTGCTCGGCTGCTCAGCATTCAGGGAACAACCAGATTCACTTGAGTCCCAACCAAGTGAGGCCCATAGGTAAGGCCCGTGGATTCAATATTAATGCACTAAAAAATGTTTTAGTTTCCTCCGCCTCAGTGGGCGCAGGACTCTGCCACGCCACGAATGGCAGAGTTTGTTGTTATCCAGCTAATCCTTGCTGGGTAAAGGTCTTTGGAGGGAGGCACATACCTGACACACGTTAGTGACAACTGCCATGTCCACGCTCACATGAACAATCATGACTGACAATCACAGTCAATCATGGCATAGGGTCGGGATGCAACCGGCCAGGACTAACCAACGGCACCGGATGTGGAATGAAGTGTATTTTGCTAGGTTCTCCTCACTCCCCACTCCAAGCCTAAACCACACCCTTTTCACCTGGTGGCCAACTAAGCCCGAGCCGCTTCTGCACACGCGTGCGTAGAACTTCATGCAGGTCTGCTTCAGGCAGGGCTTACACTCTTCCCACAGGGCCATCATGGTCTCGTTGCACACTCCCGGGATTGCCTTCAGCTTCATTTCAGAGTCCCTGGTCTCATCCAGGGCATCCTACAGGGAGACAGGAGGCCAGGTTTGCCACAGAGGCCACACTTCACCCCTCCCCTGCACTCCCGCTGGGTGCCTGGCCCTCCCCACCTGCAGGACTTCCCATGGTCTGATCACCGGATGTGCTTATTTCCTCCCCTGCACCAACACCCTTGATCCCACATTTGCCCACCTGGAATGCTCTTCCCACTCGGCTTCCCATAGCCTCTCCTCCCTGGAGGCCCAGCCGACCTCTAGAACTCAAAAGTTCTGACTTACTGCTGTGGCAGTTTCTACCCCGATTTACTTCTCACTTATACCTCATTTGCTATATAATCCCATAAGAGTGTATCCCAAGGAATTTTCAAAATAAAGGAAAAAAAATCTTTATATAGGTATATGTCATTGCATATATTTTATATACGTGAAAAATAGTCTGGGGGTCCATTTTCAGAATCTAGAATTCAGCCTTAATTGGATCCAATGGTAGTCCTTCCCTTTTGCCCGCACTAATTCTAAAATCAGCCAATCACATAGATGGTAACCCCAGACCCCTCCAATAAGAGTGCAGGGAGGCACTGTGTTAGGTTAGAGATACAAACAGAGTGAATGCCCACCTGGGCACTCTTGCTAGCAAGGTTTCCCTAGCACCCCCTTAGGTGGGAGTAAAGGTCTGCCTTGCCTACCCACTTTCCACAATGCATTTTGATTTCTTGCAGCACCTTGTTATTTCTAATATATACACACATCAGAAACAATCCAGATGCTCAAAAGCAGAGTACAAGTTAAACAAATTATAGAACAGCAATCCACTCATCAGTTTCAGATATCCAAGGTCAACCTACTACAGTCCAAAAATATTACAAAAGTACCATGAAGAGTTAAGATGTTTTGAGAGATTGCATTCATACTTTTTGTTACCATATGTTGTTCTAATTATTCTACATTACCATATGTTGTTATAATTGTTGTTGTTAGCCTCTTTTGGCACTTAATTTATGGATTAAATGTTATCAGAGGTATGTATGCACAAGAAAAAAACAATATCTACAGGTTTGGTGGTGTCCTTGATTTCAGACATTCACTGTGGTCTTGGAACATATCCTCTGTGGATAAGTGGGGAGACTACTTACCATATGTACCAACAGGTAACAAATACATCATTCATTACAAGGGATATTTATAAGTTTTAAGTATTATAGTAAGCATTTTTATTTTAAAAATTCATAATCTTGAATACAGCCATTGTGGGGGAAAATATAGAGGAAAAAAAGCAGGAAGAAATAGATCAGATGTTAACAGTGACTCCCTGCTCCCAACCCCCAACTCAGAACCTATTTGGAGCCTGCACATGGTCAGGGTTTAGAAAAATCTATTGAAATGAATCTGGGCATCAAGCCCTGAGCCAGGCATGGAACAAAACCAGATCCAAGATTTCACCCCCAAGAGTCTTTGAAAAGCAAATAAACTTTCCCCATTTCTTCACTACAGTCCCAGCATCAGGTGACACAGCCCAGGAAGGACTGTGGGTCACCATGGCAACCCAGCAAGGCACCCCACTGAGTCCCTCCCCTCCCCGCCAGCAGGGAGGGCCCAGGCACAGGTGTCAGCTCACCCTTACCTCTTTCTTTCTTTCTTTCTTTTTTATTATTTCTTTATATATGACAGCAGAATGCATTACAATTCATATTACACACAAAGAGCACAATTTTTCCTATCTCTGGTTGTATACACAGTATATTCACACCAATTTCTATCTTCTTACATGTACTTTGGATTATGATGTCCATCACATTCCACCATCATTTCTAACTCCATGCCCCCTCTCTTCCCCTCCCACCCCTCTACCCTATCTAGAGTTGTTCTATTCCTCCCATGCTCCCCCTCCCTACCCCACTATGAATCAGCCTCCTTATATCAGAACATTTGTTTTTTGGGGATTGGCTTACTTCACTTAGCATTATCTTCTCCAACTCCATCCATTTACCTGCAAATGCCATGATTTTATTTTCTTTTATTGCTGAGTAAAATTCCATTGTGTATATATGCCACATTTTTTATCCATTCATTTACTGAAGGGCAACTAGGTTGGTTCCACAGTTTAGCTATTGTGAATTGTGCAGCTATAAACATTATGTGGTTGTGTCCCTGTAGTATGCTGTTTTTAAGTCCTTTGGGTATAGTCCAAGGAGAGGAATAGCTGGGTCAAATGGTGATTCCATTCCCAGATTCCAAGGAATCTCCATACTGCTTTCCATATTGGCTGCACCAATTTGCAGTCCCACCAGCAATGTATGAGTGTGCCTTTTCCCCCACATCCTCGCCAACACTTATTGTTTTTTGTATTCATTAGCTGCCATTCTGACTGGAGTGAGATGAAATAATTTTTACCCCTCACACATCAGATAGAGCACTAATCTCTAGGGTATACAAAGAACTCAAAAACCTTAACACTAAAAAAACAAATAACCCAATCAATAAATGGGCCAAGGACCTGAACAGACACTTCTCAGAAGAGGATATACCATCAATCAACAAACATATGAGAAAATGCTCATCCTCTCTGGCAATCAGAGACATGCAAACCCTTACCTCTTTCTTCTTCTTGGCCTCCTCTAAGGTGTCAAGCAGCGACTTGCGTTCCTCATTTGTTTTTTCTATCAGAGTCTTTATCTCCTTCACCCCCTTGACAGCATTTTGGATTTCCTTATTAATGTACTTACTCCCCTGGGTGGACATCTCTACAAGAGAAAGGCAGGAGGCAGGACGGGCAAGATGAGATCAGGTTGGGGTGACAATCCCAGAACCAGATAGGATGGTCAGAAAAGTCTGTTTGGCCCAGAGACTGTCAAAGCTGGGACCCCGCCCTCACCCTGGGGAGGTAGCACACAGCCTTGCCTAGCAGGACACAGGTCCCCATCACAGGGGTCCTGGGTGGTTCTACCCGACTGCTCAGAGATGCAAACCTCAGGAGCAGCACGTCTCAGAGAAGCACTACGCCTTCCCACTGCCACACCACCTTGGGGAACCCACAGCCCTCAAGATAGAATATACCGTTATTTTGGCTACAAATTTTCTGGAATTCTGTTTAACCAAATATTTGTACTTCTTTGTTCCAATGCAGAGTGGCAGGTGACAGGGACAAGAATATGAATGAATGGCACTGTCACCAAGGAGACTGCTTATCCTGTGCCACATTCTCTTTACCTACTTACTCCCAACACATGATCATGCCCACCAGATGGGAAAAGATGGGGACAGGGAGGTTTAGGGCCCATGGGCACACCATGTCCATCATGTAGGATGAATAAGTCCTGAAGGTCCATTTACAGATGGTGCCCACAGTTAGTAACACTAGATACCATACTTGGGGTTTTCTTTAGGAAGTAGATCTGTGTGTTCTCACCACAGAAGTAAAAGGTAACTAGGGAAGGTGACGGACATGCTAATTAGCTTGTAGAATGTACATGTATTTCAAAGCATCGGTGTGTACTATGATATATAATTTTTCTGGTCAATTATACCTCAAGCTAGGATGGGAAAGAAGCAGAGTCATGAGATCAAGATAGTAGCCCAGGATCTACAGCCAGGGAGTGGCAGGGCAAACGCACACCCAGGTCTCATCTCCAAATCTGGGGTTTTAGCCATGACCCCGCAGAACTGGTCCGCTAGGAAGAGGGGGTGGGTGACAGGAGAAGGGGTTTCTGGAAGGGGCTCAGGGAAGAGAAGACTGCAACTGCCAAGCACTCACGCTGAACAGCACTGTCCCTTCCCTGCCCTGTGAGTGGAGAATGTGGAGCCTGGTTTCTTTTGGACAGGTGAGGACACATGGGCAGCAGCCCCATCACAATGCCTCAAATGGCCAGGCACAGTTTGGGGAAGAACCATGGGAGCCAGTAGGGGGACAGGGAAGGGAATGGCCGAATGAAATGCTTGGGAAATGCAGACCAGTGCCCAAAAGACACCTGACCACAAAGAGCCTCAGCTCCAGGGGCAGGGCATGGATGGTCGGAGAGGGTTGGACAGAGAAATGCAGACTTGGGTACAAGATGAAAATGGCCTTCAGCACTTGGGACTGCAGAGACGGCACGTGAGCTTGTGCAGCAGCCCTGCCCTGGGCCTCGCCAAGTTGCACTCAAAGCCCAGTTTACTTGCCCTGGAGCTCCTGGTTGGAGACCAGCGGTTCTCCCAGGACCTGTCCGTCGCCCCAGGTCAGCAGCAGCCCCACACACAGCAGCAGAGTCTTCATGGTGCCACCTTCTCTGATTCTGGAATCCTAGCACGCTCTGTTTAGAGAGAAGGGGAAGCCATCATGGGAACAGCTGGGCCACTGTTGGCTTCCTGCCCAGCTCACTGCCTGCTGCAGCTTCCAGGAACTTGGGGACATGTGGCCCTCAGCCGTCCCCTCAGCTGGCATTACTGCAGTTTTATCCCTGAGAAACTTTGGAGGACAGAGTAGACCTGCCACTGACACCTTCAAAAGAAAACGAAGGCAGGAGATACACTGAGGGTGCAGACTCGTGGAATCAGAGCGGCTGGGCTCCCCGCCAAACTTCCTCCTCCCACTAAGCAGGGCACACAGGCTTCCTGCATTGGGTCTCCTTGTCCAGAAAGGGCATCTAGGTATCAAACACTGAAAACAGGTCCCTTGGATCACTCATCTGTCCCTTCCCTGTTCCTCCTCACTTATTCACATCAGACATTACCAATCAATCACCACTCTGTTCCCCTCAGAGCCCCAGCACCACCTGAAGGTGCTTTATAAGAGTCTGAGACATGAGCATCCACCCCCTTAGGTTGGCACAGGAAGTTAAAGCCATTGGCCATCCTTAGTGTGAGACTTCAGGCAGGCTGCCTGTGGATTCCGAGGTATCCGTCATGAGCACAGCAAAGAAGGGAGGGCCATCCAATGGGTAGCGAGGGCAGAGTGAAGGAAGGGAAGGGCCAAGTGAAGGGTTAACCATGAGCCCAAAGAGCAAGTTCCCCAGAAAAGTCCCTTCAGGAGGACGTGCTCCTTGGCTCTGCCAAGTCCTTTTCAACCAGCCCATTCCCTCCAAGCTGGCACCAGTGTGCCCTGCCAAGGCACCCCTGCCACCATTGGGCCAGTTGCCCTGAGCCAGGGGACACGGGCCACAACCTGGGTCTTACACAATGGTCCCTTTCCTAGCAGCTAAAGTTGTTGCATAAGACAACTCCCCCTGCACCCTCGATCCCCCGCTCTGTGGCTTATCTGGGCTCACCGATTTCCCATGCCACTAGGGTTCACATCTAAAACCTGCTCTCAGCAGGCCCATCTGGACACTGGGTAGATCATTAATAAGACAAGTCTCTCCTGACGCAATTAGATGCAGAGCAGGCGGCAGCGTGGGAGTGAGCGCGGGTCAGCGCCTTCCCCAACCATGGGGTGGGTGGCTGAGCTGGGCAGGACTTCAGGCCCACTAGGAAGGATCTGGTCTCATAGGCTGTGCTCAGTGAGGCCTGGAATGCCTCCGGCAGGTACAGAGCCTTTGTTACACAAGAGAGATAATGCTAGCCAGAAACCCCTCTCCCAGAAGGCAACCCCTCCACCCCCACCCCTGCCCGAGCAACAACTTCTGGGAAATCTATTCTCAATGGTCAGAAACAGGTTCTCACCCAAGGGCAGGGCAGTGGACCTGAAGAGAGAGGGGAGAGGGCAGTCAAAGCAGAGAATAGGATGGAGGTGCTGGAGATGAGCAGCTGGCACGGGGTCTGTCCCAGCAGCCATCAAGCTCAGAGCTAAGAAAGGGGTCACTCTCCAACCCAGCCTCTCCACCTTCAGGGGCCGGGCCAGAGCCCAGAGGCAGGTGGGGCTCCCTGGGTCCCACAGCAAGCTGGTGGCAACCCAGGGTAAGAACCCAGTCCTCCCAACTATTGATCCAGTATCTTTTCTTGATACCAAGTCACTTCAATCTCTGAGCCTCTGGACCTAACAAGAGCTTACTGATGTAAATACCTTCTATAAACCCAAGGGTCTGATATAATCATTGTATATTCTGACTGCTTTCAAACCTGACTGAGGGTCTATCCTGGGTATTGGCAACCTCTAACTGGCATTTCTGGAGAGGGGCAGAGGACTGAAGCAGGCCTACAGGCCACCTATGGTCCTCTGACTCTGGTTTAGCCTTAAGGAAATGATGGGTTACTTTTCCAGGGTCTTGTGATAATGATTTTGTTGAGTCAGCATCTGCTTTTCTCCAAAACTAGGCACCTCTTGGATACTGCTGGTCCAAGGACAGCATGAGAATGAGGGCCAAAGCCCAATGCCCTCCCTCTAAATGAACTCTCTCCTCATCCCCTTCAGGGCTGGAGTCATGCCAAAGTCAAAGACCTCCTTTCCCCAGCACTGCACCACAGCCTCTTCCCTTGTGGTATTTTCCCTCCATGTTTGTTTGTTTGTTTGTTTTGGTACCAGGGATTGAACCCACTGAGCCACATCCCCACCCCTTAAGACAGGGTCTCACTAAGTTGCTGAGGCTGACTTTGAACTGGCGATTCTCCTGCCTCAGTCTCTGAAGCTGCTGGGATTACAGGGGTGCACCACCATGCCTGGCTCCTCCCTTTTGTATGCATTTTTATACCATAAGATTCTTTGCAATCCCTGTCTTCAAGTCTTCTTTAGAGGCACACTTTTGTGGGTGCACCCTCTTGAGCATCCTTTTATAATACTGTACTTACTCTTAAATTCCTAATCTCTCCCTTCTTAAAAAAAAATAAATAAATCATATCAGCAGCAGCCACAACTTCCCTCTCTCCCCCCCACCCCCACTAGGTCCAGGAATTCTGGAAGGCTAAGAGGCTTCAGTTCTTTTCCCAATCTGACACTTTAACACTGGAGACAGACCTCCCAAAGCCTCCCCAGACCTCAGATTACCATCTATAAACCGAGATGTGGAATCAGACGTCTGAGGCCTGATGGAGATTTCCTCTAGTGCACCTTAGGTGCATAAGGAAACAGAAAAATTAGGATTTAGGTGACTGCAGCATATACTTATATCCACAACGTCGTACTTACAAAGCGCCCTCCGGAGAACTAGAAAATAGGAGAAAACAAGATGACTCAGCCTGCAACCGAGATGAACACCTTCACTGCGCCGCGGGAAGCGCCCACACGCAGGCAGCGCCGCCACGCCCCTGTACCTCCCACAATGCGCAGCAGCCTCCAAGCCTCAGTTTCCCCGATTTTGCAAAAGGAGGATTTTACATGTGACCGATTTACTGCTACAAAATTTGTGGTTAGAGCTCATGCGCACAGGGACTCCAGAGTCTCGCCTGTGCACCGCCTACCCAATCGGCCTGCAGTTCAACTGCCTGGCGACAGGGCTCTGGCCACCTCCCGGTGGGGTCCCCTGGGAGCTCTGTCTAAAGGTCAGGGCTGTGGAGTTGTCATCTCTCTCCACCTCCACCTGGCTGCTACCCCCGCCCTCCCATCGACCCCCTACGTCCCTGCGCTGGAGTAGGAAAGATGGGGACAGCTTACGCTTACCCGTCAGCTGCGCCAGCTCCCGTGCGCTCCTCCTAGCGACGCCGGGTGGTGAGCACCGCGAGACGCCGTATTTATAGCGCTCGGGCTCGCGTACACCCCCTTTGGGGCTGGCTGCAAACCTGCATGACTCACGCCCAAAGAATGCCATGGAATGCGCGGGGAGCTTTCTGGAAGCGGGGAGTGGGGGCTGTGCAGCACTCGGCTGGGGGCACCGGAGGGCGCGTCAGCTCCGCGAATGACCGCGCCAGTTCTAGGAGACACCCTGGGACTCGCTCTGCCTCAGGTGTTTCAGAAGCTCGGAGTCTGGACGCACCCCAGTAGGGAAGTGCTTGAGGGGTGACCCAATCCACAGGGTTAGAAGGGTCCATTCTATGCTGGCCGGTACCCAGTCCAAAATACAATCTCACAGTCCCCCGGCCCCATTGAATGTTAATCTTTCACATTAAACACGCTCCACTTCTCCTGTTCTATTTAAATACGAAAGTGTCAGAAATAATGAGGGTAAGATGGAGAGAGGCGTTGTGCTTGGGAAGAGAATACATTAAGTGTTTGAAATCGGTTAAAGGATGAGCAGAGCATCTATTTGGGGAGACAGAAAGTCTCCCTGGACTCCTAAATCCTTGCAGCTTAAGCAATTATTGTCCCCTTTCACTTGGAACGCAGCCAAGCAGGCTGGGCTCCAGTGCTGGCACGGGACTAGTGCAGCCCCAGTTTAAAGTTCTACGTTTGCAGACTTGAAATTCTCATGCTCTCTGAACAAGGGCCTTGCATGTTCGTTTTGCACTGGGACCCATGTACAGAGTCATCCTCAACTGGCTTCTGCTGAGAGCAGGTGCATCTCCTGTCCCAGGAATCTGCACCCACACCACCCCCAGAAGGCAAGAAACTGTCCAGGAGTCCCAAAGGTGCTGATACTTCTTAGGAAAGAAGCAGAGCTGTCCACTCTGGACTCTGGGACATTGGAGTTTGAGTAGAGAGGGCAAGGGCTGGCTTTGCTCTCAGGCTGGTGGGAAGACGGATGGAGCATGTATAGGCAGCCTGGTTTGGGGTGGTTGATTTTGAAACCAGGTGAAAGCAAAGAGCTTAAAGAGCTGTGTGGTCAGGGGCTGAGTTTCCTCTTCATGTCTGTGGAGGCTCAGCCTTAAGGTTGTTTCTGGTTCCCCCAGAGGGGAAATCCTGGGCTGCAGTCATAGCTGTGCCTCCAGGGTGACTTGGTCGCCTTAGCCTTGCCCTTGGGCCCAGTGTCTTCCATCTGGACAAGAAATCTAGAATGTATCCTCTCTTAATCCTCTCTCTACCTGGTACAATGCCAAGTGCAAGATCACCCACCCAGAAGGGAAAAAGGCAGCAAGAACTGGAGCAGTATTTGCCCCCAAGAAGAGGCTTCACTTTGTTTTCCTTTACAAACAAGTTGAATTATCAGCAACAGCTACATTTTCTGTGGAAACTGCCTCCTCTTTGGCATATCAGTACCTGGGGTCACAAGAACTGTTTTTGCGCTCACTCCTTGTAACTTTTCTGTTCTGTAGTTCCCCCAGCATCCTGTACAGGAAGCATAGATCTTCGATAGTTTTATTTTTAAAAACTGGACTTTGGAGGTCAGGCAGGGAGATCTGCTTAGTCAGCTGACTAAGAGAAAGGGAGGAGGGGAAGAAAGGATTTGGAAGAAGACAGCATGATTCACAGCCATGACTGGGTCCCCTGGGAATGCTTACTTGATTTTTCCAGCTCCTAAACAAACAAGGTTGGGAAGATTAAATTTTAAGAAAAAAAGTGCAAATTTTGAAGGCACCATAATGCATCACCGGATTCTTAACATTCTAAGGAGACTGCAGAGTCCTAGTCCATCCCTACACCCACCTGGACATCCCCACCAGATGGTCATCCTGCTTCTGTTTGAGTGCCACCAATAACTGGGAGCTCACTACCTGCAATGTAAGCATTTCTCTAGGAAAGCTTTTAATAGGTTAGGACATCTCTTGTTGAGGCCCAGCCTCCTTCCTCCTGTGAAAGCGATCCTGAGCCCAGCTCTGTCCTCTGAAACCACACTGGGAAAATCCAACCCATCTCTCCCCCAGTGGCCTCCTGATATTTGAAGACGGTTAGTCGGCTCTCCCAGTGACCTCAGGCTGGGAGCTCCTCATCAAGAGTCATCAGACTCTTCCTTAGCCCTTGGGCTTTTTGGACCTTGCTTCTCTTGAAACACCGGAACCCAGCACTGAGCCTACCAATGCCAGAAGCGGCCTGGGCACAGAGCAGAAAAAGGCCACTCTTTCTCTTGCCCTAAACACTGCAAATAAGCTTTTATCTAGATGCTGAGTCACTTGGCTGATTCATGTAGAATGCATTATTTTGGCAGGTGCTGCTGGCTATGCACTGCTGTCCCCTGGGGAACTTATATGGCTGGTTTGGGACTGGCAGGGGGATGATGGGAAGGGGTTTGGTAGGGACGCGCTCTTATCTCTTTATTCTTTGCCCACCATCTTTGGCTGCCCAGATGTCTTTGAGCCAGATCTGCTGTGCAGTGTCCTTGTTATGCACCCCACATCCCGGCTATTACCCAGCTCAGCACCACCAGCGTGCAGTTCAGCCACCATGGATATAGCTAGAACAAACTAGAAATGAACAAGAGCAGTTTCCTATGGCCTGCATTAAGGATCACTTTCTAACCCAGGCACAGTGGTGCCCACCTGTAATCCCAGCCACTCGGGAGGCTGAAGCAGGAGGACCACAAGTTTGAGGCCAGCCTGGAGAACTTAGCAAGATGCTATCTCAACATAAAAAATAAAAAGAGCTGGGGGTGTAGCTCAGTATGAGAAGCCCTAAGTCTAATTCCCAGTACTATTTTTAAAAAATCGCTGTCTGAGCTGCAATTATTTAATGAGTACCTTCAGTCAATTAAAGGCCCACAATAAAATCATGGATAATAAAACATACGCAGTAAAACCAGACCACAACTGATGGGGGCATCCTGAGTGCTTTTTCTGGCTCTCCCTAAAACTCATCAGTTGGTCATCTCCATCCCCCCCTTTAGGATCTTTTTTTTTTTTTTTTAATGTTTTTAGTTGTAGGTGGACACAATACCTTTATTTTTATTTATTTATTTTTATGTGGTGCTGAGGATCGAACCCGGGGCCTCGCACATGCTAGGCAAGCACTCTACCACTGAGCCACAACCCCAGCCCCCACTTTAGGATCTTTTGAGGAAAAGGTTTGAGGCTGGTCAATCCTGAGTTGTTCTTCCTGTACTTGGAAATAGACAAACATTACCTCTTCTTTACTATTAGAGACTGGTTATGTGATCTGTATTTCACTTCAAAGTTACTCAACTCCTTTAGCTCCAATTGTTAGGTTAAGGAGCCTTGGAAAAAAAAATGGCCCCAGATTTACTTCGAGTCAAACATACTCTTTCCACAACCACCTAGAATCCAACGAATTATTATTTCAGTCGAGTGGTTGTCTATGGAACCATATAATAGCTACACAATGGAATCCCCTGGGCCTTGCCTGAATCCCACCTCCAGAGGTTATGATTGATTAATCTGCAGGCAGCATCACAGTTTTTAAAACTCTCCAAGAAAAGCAGCCAAAGTTCAGGAGCACTGCTCTCAAGTTTACAAATCGCTGGTGTAGGCTTTCCCACCCCATCCTCACTGCACCTCAGTGTCACTGTTGGAGCAAATGCTGTTAGTCCCGTTTTACAGAAGCACAGGAGGGAGGCCCAGAGGAACCCTTGACTGTTTTGCCTGCCCTGAGCTGAAGTCTGCCTCCTTACACTTTCTTTGTCCTTTATCTTATTTCTAAGGCAGCATCTGTGTTATCCTCTCCTCTGTAAGACAGACCTCCCAACATTTGGAAACCAAAATTATATTTTACCTTAAGTGTGTCTTTGTGCAAATCCTGGACCCCTTCTCATAGAGTGAGGTTGCCAGATGTCTCTCTCTCATTTCCACCCCAAAGATACTTCGTTTGGTCATTCATTGTCTCCCTTGTGTGGTTTCAGACACCAACTCTGGCTGGCCAGGTGATCTGACTGGTTCTCTGTGTCCACACGGTAATCTCTGTTTACTTTTGTGTAATCCTGTAATATGCTGTGCTTCTCAAATTGTTTTAAGCTGACCTCTGGATCAGGTTGAGGTGCTAAGAACACCCAAAGACACAGAACACGCTGGCTCTGGGTTTCCTCCAAGATTTAGGGAGAAAGGTGGATAGGTAGTGAATGATCAATCTTTTCTTTACCTGCCTCATTTTCAGTTCCTTTCTAAATCTCATGCTTCTAGAGCAATGGATGTCTGCATACTTGGAATATGTGTATGTGTATATTAACAAGCAAATATATACATAAATAATGGATTTTTGCCTTTTTCTCTTCTACTTATAAACAATAAGTCACACGACACATCATTCTGCAACTTATTCTTTTCCACTTAATAAAATATCATGGACATCCCTCCACATCAGTGCACAGAAAGACCTAACTCATGCCTTTCAGCAGCTGTGTCATATTACACGGGGAGGCTAAACGTATTTTATCCAGCTGTCTCCCTGGTCTAACTTCCTGCTGTTTCTCTAAGCAGCTGTCTGGAGGCGTCCTCAGTCTTGTTGGTGCCTTTATTGCTCTGTTTAAGGTAAATCCAGAGCACTGCATAAAAGAGATGGCTGTTCCTGAGGTTCAGCTGTCTTCTGTGGACCTTCCCCAAAGGCTGTGGTGACTTCCAGCCTCTTGGACAATGCCCACTCCCACGTGATCTTCAGGCTGCCTGTTGTCCTTTGGAATCTGCAGCAATCTGGTGGGTGAATGATGATATTTTGCTACCCTAATCTCCTTGAATGCTTACTGTTTTCAACTAATTTCCTTCACCAGTGACTTGCCTAGCCATATGTGGGCTTGGTTTGTCTTTTTCCTATGAATTTATAATAGCTCTCTAAGTACACAGAGAGAGCAACCCTTCCGGTGGCCAATGGTTCCCCTCACACATGAGGAAAATTCTTATGCAAGTGAAATTTGTTTATCTTTTTCTTCGTAGTTTCTAAATCTGTGTCTTGCTTAAAAACATCTTGCTCTGGCCAGGTGCAGTGACACATGACTGTCATCCCAGCAAC